CCATCAACACACGTGGGAAAGGAGGCAGGAAATGGGTAAGTAGCCACCAGTTGGGACCTCTCTACAAAAAACAAAACAAAACTGTGTCCTCCTCCTGTGAATCCTTGCCAGAATCACTTCTACCCAGTGATGTGTGGTGGGGGTGGGAGGAGTGATAACAGGCGTCACATGATTTAGTGTTTTCCTCCTGGAAACAGGGCAGAATTTAAAACATAATTTCATTCATGGCACTGGTAAGGCCACAATGCCTACTTTCTGTAAGCCAGTATTCAGTTTTCCCTGCTTGGCATAAAAACGGCGTTGCCTACAGTATATGTTTGCTTGTTTGTTACAGCACCCTTCATCCAAAGATCAAAAGGTGGTTCACAACATAAAAATACCAAGTGAGAACACGAAAACACACTAAAACAAACAAAAATCTGATCTGTGTTTCCCATACCTGCTGTGACTCATCTCTTAATGGCGCAATTCACTGTGGTCCATTGGGATTAGAAAACATTAATGAAGTTCATCCATAATGCTTGCTCTGCTTACTATTTACTTACCAACACTTCTGAAATACACAAAAATTCATGGGAGTTATCCTAAGCAGAATGCTTTTTGCCCAGTTGTTGGCACTAGCTATTGTGAAGACATCAAGACAGATGCAGTTTTGCATGGGAGCCTCCTGTACACGGAACTGAAGAGCAATCTTATTTTATTTAGTTACATATTTAATTTATATATTGCCCTTCATCCAAAGATCATGGGGCAGTTTACAATATAATCCTCAGCAACGAGGGGGAGACAACTGATAAAAAATGGCTATCATCAGTGACCACCCCCAAAAAGGAAGCTAGGATTCTGTCCCATCTGAAGTGAAGCACAGTTTTAAGGAGTTTTTTAATGGGTAGAGCAAATGTTGGGAGGGGTTTGGATGAGATAAGAGTTTTCCCTCCTTGCTGCAGTTTTTGGAATGGTGGGTGGAAGCTAATGTTGGGGGTATCCCCACGAACAGAAGCCAATTCAGTGGTACCTCTGCTTACATACTTAATTTGTTCCGGAGGTCCGTTCTTAAACTGAAGCTGTTCTTAACCTGAAGCACCACTTTAGCTAATGGGGCCTCCCGCTGCTGCCGAGGTACTATTTATGGGTTAGTGGAGTGTGTAAACTGAAGCGTATGTAGCCCGAGGTACCACTGAAACAACTTGGAGAGTGGGCAGAGCTGGACCAGCAAAAGGCCCTTTGCATTCTAAACTGGCTCACCTGCTAGGTGATGGAGGCCTGTTTGCTGCTGCCCAAAGCTTTACTTCATTTATCAGGAGCCAATTTAAACCAGTTAACACTTGATAACTGTCTGTGGGTGCTTCCATGTGACAGTTTATGTGCCTTCAGTATGGCTCCTGCATGCACACGAGCATGGTGTTTATCAAAATGGTGTCCCATTTTATTGCCTCCTTAATCCAGATAGACAGATTCCAAGGCATATCCCAGGCACCAGTGTGGCAAAGCCACCCCATGGACTGAATTAGTGCTATCCAAAGTCATAATTTGCTCCATGAATCCATCCCAGGCCACATTCACTTGCCCTACACAAGTAGGATAATGCATAAAATGCCAGTTGTGCGGCAGGTAAAGGTGGGACGCCCTGATGAAGGCAGGGCAAGAGGCTACAGGTAGGAGGATAGGAAGGGAATTCCACTCATACAATACTGGATATCAACCAATCAAAAAGAGGAAGAAAAGGCAGGATGGATTGTATTTCATTTTGCTCTGATTACAATGGCACATTCAAGGTTTAATTAGCTCCATTTGAACTGGTATACAATATTAGCAGTACAAAAATGCACAACATTTGTATAGCACTTTTGAATGTTCAAAGCATGTAATATACATTACCTTGTAGCATCAATCATTACATCAACTCTGCCAGATTGATTAGCATTAGCCCCATAATGCAGACAGGAAGAGTAGCGTGCCTAAAGCAGTGGTTTTCAACCAGTGTGCCATGGCACCCTCGGGTGCCTTGAAGGATGGTCAGGGGTACCACGGCAACACTGGGCTCTGGCCTTCTTTCCTCCCCTCCCTCCTCTGATGCCCTCTCGCGTCTCTGCCTCCCAAAGGCTTGCACAGCTGTTTGTTGCAGCAGCTCTAGCTATAAGCCCCCCAGAGGAATGGTGCCTCTGGGGCTGGCCAGAGGGTGCTTCCCAGGCCTCTGTGGGGCAGTGTGAGGAGTCACCTCTCTTTGGGACGGAGGGGGCAGCTGAGAGACCAGGGGTGGCAGTTGCGGCTGCCCAGAGGACTCCCCAGGAGAGGGGAGAGGAGAGGAGGCTGAGGGAACACTCCACAAGGGAGGGCATTTGAAAAAGGGTGAGAGGCTGCAAGCTCTGCAGGCAAGCGGGGACCATAACTGTGCTGCTAAGCCCCACAGGGGTGCTGCAGAAAGAATGTAGTTGGTCAAGGGAACTGTGGACTCAAAAAATTGAAAACATCTGGCCTAAGGCAATCGAGTGAGTGTGTGGCCAAAGAGATATTTGAATGAAGGACTTTCTGATTCATGTATGTATAGCCGAATCTTAACCATTTCTACTCAGAAGTAAACCATATTGAATTCAGTGAGAATTACTCCTGAATAAGTGGGGTTATTGCATCTTTGGCCTCCTAGCCAGTATGCTACACCAGCTCTTACACTTATTTAGCAAAGGGGCTTATGTTCCTTTTCTATGAATAGTCACTTTGCTCAGGAACACTAGCAGACTTCTCTAGTTCTCTGTAGACTTCAGCTGCATAATCTTCTGGTTTTAAAAAAATTCAAAACTTGAGGCAGGCAACACTGGGTGGGCAGTGTAGCAACCCAGCCTGACAGATTTCCAACTTTCAGTCTGGGAACTGGCAAGCATAAACATCATGCTGGGGATACAAATGTTTGCACACTAATTATTATTTAGTTTTTTTTCCTGATTGCTTTTCCCTGATTGCAAAATTCAGTTTTGTCTTTGGCCAAACCACTAGATTCCAAAGAAGGGAGGGGGAAATTAACAGATTTGAAAGCCTATGTCTTTTCCTCCCCTGAAAAGTTTCCCTGTTCAGTTATTCAATTGTTTGGATTATGTTTACTGGTCATTATAGATCTCTTTGTTAAACACAGCTACCGTTGAGATCATTCCTCCTCCCGAGAAGATAAAGCTCTGTGTTTTCCCTCAACATCTGCACAGGGCAAACCTCCAAGATTAAGTTCCCCATTCACATTTGAATATTTGTATTATCAGCTTTTGAGAAAGACGTTCATGTTTTTAAAAACAAACATGTAAAATGAGTGCCAGGTTCCCTGCCTTAAAAACAAATAATTCAGCAAAATGGTGAAAGAAATGTGTTTTCCAGCTGCTGTTTATAAATCCCAGTTGCTAGGCTGCTGTTATCAAAAGTTATGACTGAGTTGCATAGTTACCCTCTGCAAAGTCTTCCTGTTCTTGACAATGGGGCAAAGGACTCTGCCCCTCAACTATCTGATTAGAACAAGTTGATGGGAGAAAATAGCGTTTGCCTGGGCATTTGATTATGAAACAAACCTAAATTTAATCCTAATTTAATCCACATTCTTGCCAACCTCTAGGAGGTGCAACCTATCTCTTGCTAGAAGTCTTTCTTCATGGAAGTGAGAACCATGGTCAAAGAAGCCAATATTTCCCCAACACCATCTGCACAGCCAGTTGTTTTTGTTGTTGTTGTTTAGTCGTTTAGTCATGTCCGACTCTTCGTGACCCCATGGACCAGAGCATGCCAGGCACTCCTGTCTTACTTCCAGTATTTTTCTCTTTCTTCCTGGGTTGTCCTGTTGAGGGCCATCACTCAACAGGAAGGAGTGAGGAAATAACCACCTGTGCCCAAAGTGCCTTCAGCTTCTCTACCCATAGTCTCAGAGTCCCATATATGCTGAAGGCTGCGTCTGGTGGTATCATTTGTACCCACATGGGATACAAGGGAGGGAGGGAGGTGTAATGGTCGATGGGCTTTATAAGACTTGGTAACTTCTCTGTCACATCTTGAATCTTTGCAACTGGAAGACAGCACACCTCCTGGGACGTCTTGTTACACCTGCACACTGCAACCTCTGTCTCATCAGTAGAGGAGTCACCTGCCACCACAACACATCACATCCTCCTCTGGGCAGTGGCAGGAATGCTTCTATATACTGCTCCTTCTCTAGCCATCTGTGTATGTTCTGAGACCTGCAACTGCTGTCCTTGTTCCTGTGGCCCAGAATTAAGGGTCCAAGGGGAGGGCCTGGAATCAGTTGTACCACCCCAAAGACACGTTTCTTGACAGTCCTGCTTCTGTGTGTCTCATTCCTCCAGGGGTTTGCTTCCTGCATTTAGTGATCTTCCTCCTCTCTAAGGGTGCCCTAACCCCCACAGTATCACTAATCCAGGACAGTCTGCTTTGCTCCATCTCGAATATCTTCCTCTGATGACTCTACGCCCGGAGAGGTGGGCCTCAAGTTGCTGAACCTTCTCTTCCAGCAAGGCAACCAGCTTACATTTGCTGCAGGTGTAACTTCATACACCCACAGGCAGGAAAACAAACATGGCACAGGTGTTCCAAGTCACTGCCCAGGTCTCTTGCTCCTGCATACACTTGTGTCCTAGCACTCCAGGCTTGCCCTCAAGCCAGCTCACTAAACACCCTCCCAAAAGCCCGTTTACTAGCCCTGATCGCATGTTCTTGGTCGCAAGCTCCCAGAGACTGAGAGCAGCCACGTAGAACTGGTGGCTGCTAACTCCACAGGGTCAGAATCAATGCCCCTTGGCTCGTTATTCTTCATCGTGCACTTGTACAATTAATTTCCTGTGTTTCTTTTAATATAAGCTTTGGGTGAGTTTCATTTTTCAGAAAGGTGCTTTCCAACCTTTACCTCCAGAAGCAGCCTAGTGTTAGGCTCTTTATGACACAATTGCCTTATATGCCACCAATATTTCATAGACGATATTCCTCCCCATATTTAAAAGGCAATTTTAAAATAATAATTTTATTATCTTTAATGCTTTTTATGAAAAGAATGAGGATTAAAAAACAAGTACATTTCATTCAATAACATTTTCCTTTCACCGTACACATATTAAAAACCTAGAAAACTTTCCAATCTAAAGGATCGCTCCCCCATGTAAAGTGCAAATGAGAATCAACCTCTGTAATTTTTAGTCAAGTAAACCCAATCTTACATATGTAACTAGGATAGACAGACTCTTGCATTGTTTTATGGGGGAGTTTATTAAAATGTTCCTGTAATGCCACAAAAACATATAATTTATTTATAAGAAATAGCATTTTAAAAAAGGATCAAATACACAATCCATTTTCTATTTAAAAAAAAACTGGTTTTCAGCGTAGAGACAAAAAGGAAAGTATTTTCCAACTGGCATTAATAAGCAGGACTTTCTGTGGTGACACTTTATATAAATACATTTTGGGGAAATCAGTCTAATTTATTGGAGCCTTCCCAATGCCACGTGGAGGATACTTTTGACTCTAAGACTTACTTCTCTTTTTGGCAATGTCAAATGATTACCCTCCAAGCTATCTTCTCTATATCCTGTGATCTGCTACATATTTTGCTACCCATTTACTAGCTTCCCATTTACTAGGGAGAGACTCTCAAATGCATTCACAACAGTAGCTGTCACTGGTTCTGTGCAAGGAAGAACCTGTGAACGGCTACTCTTGCCTTGTGGATATCTGCTGGCTCTTCAGCTGAGATTATTCACACTTGAAGTACAACTTCAGGAAACACATGCTGCTCCAATTAAATAGAGACGAGTTGGGAGACACATTGGTCATCAGCATGGGCCTCAAAATGATTCCTGTCACTGAAATCCTATCCAGCCACCCTCTGCCTACCCTCACCCTCTCCTCCTTAGCTGTTATCAGCTGGTCTCCATATAATGCATTGCCAGCTGATGAAAAACACTTCAAGCCCTTCATTATCATAGAATGGAGAACCTCCAGACCAAAATTTCATCAGTTCTGTACACACAGACCTCGTCTAGAAGTATGGCCTGGCGCATCCTCTAAGTCCACCATGTTCTTTACATGTGGTCTTTTGACTGGCCACAGCCTTCCACATAATAGCCCCTTCTCAGAGACAAAAGAAGCATGCTGATTTGGATAAGGAAGGGAACATCTCCTCTTGTGATTTCAGTGTCCAGTTTTGACCCAGCTGAGAGCAGGAACTGGCATTCCACCTTTCCCTTTAGCTATGCTGAATCAAGTGCATACAATGGTCATTTCACATCGATGAAACACAGCAATCTTCGTCTCTGAGGAAGCCTGCTGTTCCTGATCAAGTGCAGTTAATTGGCATGAGTTCTAGGGAGCAAAGCAAAATTAAAGACTTAAGTTATTCCCTTGCAGGTATGCTTTGGGTAGAGATGGCATCTTATGAGCATATGCAGCAACCAAGCCAATAGACCGTGTGCAGCCTTCTGAAATTATTCCAGCTGGTTTGCATGCAGACTTCCAGAACTATGCAAAACTTGTGGAAAATGGATATTTTAAAAACAACCACATCTTCTCCCTGGTGTGACCTGAAACCCCTTCCTTCAGCTTCCTGTCTCAGCACTGTTTAATTCTGAGCTACTGCAGTGGTTCTGTGAAGATATAATTATGGTCTCACCTGTGCCTTCCCTTTTCTGGGAGGAAAGTTCCTCCCATCCACAGGGACACTGACTCTCCGGCAGGACTTAAAACTTCTCCTAGAATTTTTCATACATGCTTGTTTGAAATGAGCTGTGGCTGTGTGGGTGTTTAAAGGTTTGTTCTTTGCAGACAGTGTGTGCAGGATAAGGAGACTCAAGCTTCCATACAAGTTGATGGTGTTGTTGCATCATTTATATCTATGGACTGTGATGGAGTTGCCTCACCATGGAAGTATTTGCCCATGACCAGGCATGGGTTGACCTCTTCTATATATGGCTAGTGAGGGGACATGGTTGGTACACCATGCTGTTTGGCATTTTGGTGGTGTGTCCACATTATGCCTTGTTTTAATTCCTGTTGGGAGTGCATAGTTTCCCAACTCAAGAATGCCAACCTTATGATGATGGTAGAAGGACCATCAGATTGATATTTCTGTCGTTCTGTTTCCAGAAAAAAAAATGGCTCTCATCTGCCCCTAATTGTTTTGAGCAATGAACTCCAAGATGGATTACTTACATTAAGGTCACAACCTGTCAATCATATATAACGGCTGTGTTTTCTACTAAGCAGTTGAAGCTTGAGAGGATTTTAATTGGAACAGAAATAACCCACTGGCCAGTTCTCATAAAACACTAAGCCAAACTACGGCTAAGAATGGATGGGCAGGCGTGCAGATGCTCAAAGGAAAAATCAGTCCTGCTGCCTTAACTCTTCCCAAACCAAAGCTGGGTTTGCTTAGCGTTTTGTCTGAGCCCAGAACCATGGTTTGTGTTACATATGAATCAGGCCTGAGTCAGAATATTTTCTATGGAAAAGAGATGTATGCAGCAGTTATTGCTATGGTTTTCTTTACCTGGTGTTTGATGAAAGGCAAATTCCTAAATAAAACCGATTTCTTCTTTCTGGTTGCAATAATTTTCACTTGCTCATTGGACACTGGGCTCAGTAAAATGATAACCATCTACCTGTTAACTTACCCTGATATAGAGGAGGGTGCTACTTCATCTGGTTTTCTTACTTCAGTTACATCCTAAGAATGTGAACACAAACCTATAAGAGGGTTGCGCCTGTGCCGGATAGAAACTACTTTTTATGATTTAAGTTTAAATGCGCATCAAAGAGGGGGAGATGTTCTAAATGTTGTCTAGAATTCACATGGCAAAAGCTGAAAGATTAAAGGCCAAATTGGAAATCAGGCAGGATATCCATGAAATGAATGTTTCATAGCTTCAAAGCATTGAACATACCCAGTGGTGGTGCAGTTTGCATGAAGGCGTTGGGAAAAGAGGGCTTAACCCTTTCCCCGCCTATAAATTGAGCAAGAGGAGCCAGCTCCATGGCCTACCGTGAACCCCAGCGGGCAAAGTGTCAAGGCAAGTGGAACAGCCAAGCAAGTTAAGCAGCATGGGGAGGAGGCCACAGCACTCCTCCACCTAAACAGAACCCCCTCTCCTCCACCTAAACAGAACCTAAGCTTCTCACAGAGAGTGTCTTGTTGTGTCGTGGGCACCATTGGGCACCTATAATCTGGGGCCCAAGTCAGCACCCCTACTGAAGGGGGATTCTAAGCACATTCAGGAGACCTCAAAATCCTCATTGTGATTTGAGAACCCTGAAAACATATGGTTCCTGATCATGGGGAGGATTCTAAGTGTGTTCTTTCAGATCACTCTCAGTGTGGGAAGGTTTCAAATGGAACTGGCATGGCAGATGTTGGAGGTGGGGCTTTCATGCACACATCTGTCTCCTCCGCACATTTCATTCACACATATTCAGGCAAACACCTGAATAGGGCTACACGTTTGATCTTCCAGATGAATATATACTAGAATCAGGTATGCTACGGAAAGGCAAATCTAAGGAGGACAGAAGATCGTACCTGTAAGGAGTCCACTGTGTGTGTTGTATCCGATGTTCCCTCTGTGCTTGTTTCTCGAGATATGGTAGACAGCCTGGGTCGATGTCGAGTCATGTATTCATATGTGTTCATCTTTTTATTCACTACGTACATGGAAGTTTGTGCTTTTTTAAGATTTAAAAACTATAAATCCCTAAAGCTTTGCAGCTTAGATGGGTGTCAGCAAATTCAGTGAGCTTTCACATTCTCTTTGACCATCATTCCCTTTAGTGAGAAAATAGTGTACACTCAGGGCACCATTAAGATTGGGGATAGAAGCCTGTCTTTTGCATAAACTGAGCCCTTCATTTGCACTCCCCTACCCTGTGTTTTTCAGAATTGTTTTACTTACAGAGGTAAAGATGAAACGTCAACAAATGTCCAAGCAGCAAGAAAGAAGCAGATCCCAAAACCACAGTTAATATTGCTACACTCAGGATACCAGCTGCTGTAGTCTCTACCGGAGCAACAGGAAGAAAGACCAGCCAGGTGCCATTTCTAGTGACACCTATTGGAGAAAAAATAATGGGGAGAAGTAATGTTATTCCGGTTTCAATTATGAAATGAATGGTGTTCCCTTTTGTACTAATACTATGGCAGGACTTTCAAAACTGTTCCCTAAGGGTCTACGCTGGTCAAACAGCCAGATATCAATGAATAAAGAAATATTGACTGAAACACACTTTTAAAGCAGTGGTTTCCAAGGTTTTCTGGGCTACCGCCGTCTTGGTTCCATAAAATCATCCCCTCTGCCCTATACAAAGCATCATTCAGAATAGCAGTTTCCATGACCCACTCAGGAAGATAAAATAAACACAATAAAATTCAGCAATGAATATTGCATGATTTTCCTCCACATTCTTACAACAACAACAACAACAATTATTATTATTACAATAATAATAATTTATTATTATTACAATAATAATAATTTATTATTATTACAATAATAATAATTTATTATTTCTACCCCGCCCATGTGGCTGGGTTTCCCCAGCCACTCTGGGCAGTTTTACTAATGAAAACATAATTACAAACTTATATCCTTTGTTATTGGAAATTTCTAACAAACTCAGAAATGTATAACATTAAAACTGGAATCTAATGGAAGTACATGGTGAATCTCTCATAAAATATTTCCAGATTTCAGACAGTAGTAACATTATAATATGTTGCATTGATGTGAACCATTTGACAGTGTTGCCTGCACTAAGAAATCTTGCATACAGGGTGGTAACAGGCAGTGACAGCCACCAACCTAGATGGCTTCAAAATAGGAATTGACAAATTCACAGATGGAAACCTTCCCACCTCAATGATATCTTCCGTCCTACCTGGTGAATTAGTCTTGTGAAAGTCCTCTCAACTGGGGTCTTACTTTATTATATTTTGAAAAGAACAAGTACATGTTTATACCACTTTGTGTGGCCACCCTCAAAATTACAATAGTTGTACAAATGAACCCTAATGTTTGCATATAAAAATTTTGGTTGAGAGAAGCTCAAACCAAACGCCTGTCTAGTCAGTACTATACCAATCATGAGCTGGTTTTCCCTCTTAATGACCACCCCTTTCTGTTTAAGAAACCATAGGCACTACCTTGAAAAAGTACTACTAGGTCACATTGGTGTAAAAAGTTTTTTTAAGTCAGTGGAACAATACTTTCAAACTGGGGAGATGTGCGGAGCCGTTCTGGGTCCACGAAATACTGGATGAAGACATATATCATCACCATAATCAGCAGAAGGATTCCAAGAGCAGCAGAAGCAATCGCATTGAAGAAAAACCTATGAACACGTTAACAGAAAGATTCCAGTTAGCCATAACCTGTGGAAGGCTGTACAATTACAAATTGAATGTATTTAATTGTATTTTTTCACGCCACCCCAATCTCTGAGAGGTGTGAGACTCCGTGGGTTTCAGTGCTTATCCAGGGTTTGGTTTCCTTGTAATGAGGAACAACAGAGACTTTGTGATAGTTGGGTCATTTGCGCACATATACAACCTGAGACTACAATGGAGCATTAGCACCCGAGAAAGTCCTGCTTTTCTCATCCAGTCACAGCCTTGGATTCCAGCAGAAGTCAAGCATGGCTCTGTCTCTCTGCTTCTATGCCAGCTGCACACACAACTCTGGCTTTTATCTTTCTCACCACCAGCCAAGAGAGGGAGGAGAGCCCACCCATTTGTCTTCAGGCCAAAGCAACCTCCCTTGTTATACTAATGACAGAAGATAGTGCCATTAACTGACCAAGAAAGTTGCCTGGCTAGTTTAACAGTGGAATCCTCCATTAGATTTTAACCCTTGATGGATTTAAAAGGTGCCGCTGAATGCAGGTCTCATGTAGATGAACACCTGGGAGCCCATCCTAAGGTTTCTGCTTGTTCCTTTGCAGCTGTAGCTTTATGTCATGACATCCAGTGCAGAGCAAGGGTTCTGGCTGGGGGGAAATGGCCCCGTGGGCCAAACTAGGGTCCCTGGGAGACCTAATGAGGTCTGCAAGCCTGGGGTTCCCCATCCATGCTCAGGAATGATTTTCTTACTGTGTTCCAGAGAACTCTGCAATTCTTTAGAAACCTACCAGAGGTTCCTCCATGAACAAACAAGCTCTCCTGAAAGATAGCTTGCCCATGACTACCAACTCTTCTCCCACAAATGTGCAGCTACAGGGAAGTGGCGAGTGTGTTTTAGATTGTACTATCAGTCCAAGCAGGGCAACAGCTAGGCCCAAGAGCTTGGCCTGGTGATTCATCTAAATGAATGCCCTAGAACAGGGACGTCCAACTCCCCAGAGAACATGTTCCAGAATACTCTGCTCTGGATTCTGTGGGATAGATATCTAAGCAGAAAGGGTTATCTGGAGGCACACAGGGCCAGTTGTTGCAGCTGGAAGTATACAAAACCAACCGATTTTGGCTCAGGATGCTGCTCCCTATAACTATGCTTCTCCAAAAAAGGTTCTGCAGCTGGCCTGTGTGACTGACCTCACTAACAATCTTAGCTTGGCCCTCAATTTTGCCGCAGCACAGTTTGCCCAAAATGCTGAAGTAGCTATTAGCCTTCTCATCTCTGTTGGCCCTCCCCATGGAGAAAGTATGATGCTGTGACACCTTTCAAATTCCCAGATTCCTAGGGAATGAGCAGATTAGGATTTAATCAAATATCAGTGAAGAAAGCCAGCAGTGTTGGACATACATAATTTTGAACAGGGAGTTGGAAGGGCAGATTGTGAACAGGAGGGCCAGCCCACACTGTTTTGCTACCCTGGACACAGTAGCAGATTGAACCTCACATTCCATGTAGAAAAGACTCTTACTTCAACAGGGCAGTGTCCTTTGGTGCACCTGGTGGCAGCAGGCCAGCTTAGAGGCTGGAGAGAAGATAATGGGGCACACACAGCTTTGTCAGCCAACAGAGGGGAGGTGTTAGGGTGTTCAGGAGAAACAGCTAGAGGGGCTGCCACTAGTGCTCCTCACACCACCTAGCATTTGTGGGATAACCAGTCTCATATAACTGACATGCTTAAGTCTAATGCATGAAGAGATTAATAACACAGAATAAACTGTGCTGCCAGGCTTAGCCTAGATCCCTCCCCCTCACCTTGGGAGGAACTAGGTATTCAAGCCATTGTTCTCCTCCCGAGAGTAGTTCCCAAGAGATTTAGTTGGTTGCTCCAGCTCAGACCACATGGCTCTCACAAGCCACTCTTGAGTTGCTATACCAATAATTTAAGAGCTTTCACCATTGTGCAAGTAAGCTAAGTTTTACTGCCTGTGCAACTTTTTCTGGCTGCTGCATGTCTTTTGGAAAGTTTGTAAGTAAACCATTTTTAACTTATCAAACACCTTTTTCTATGCTAGGGGAAGAAGGAAACATCGGCACTCACTTGAAAAGGCATATTTTAAAGGTCTAACAACCTATATTTCGATACTTTACTTTGCTACATATTGTGTGCTGGGGTTCTTTCACCAAGGAATACTTATCCCAAACTTGGATTTTGGCATCTAGGAAATTGTCCCTTCTATACAATTCCCCCCACCACCACCACTTTGTGGTCCAGACAGCCTGAAAACCAATAAATGAAGAAACTGAGACCAACAACCTTTCAAAGAATGAAAGTCTGCTTTGAATGTCTTCAAGCATGAGGCAATTGCTCTCCATCTGTGGTGTGCATTAATTGGAGCAATAATGCTTAGCTTGTTAAAGGAGGTGGCCACACTGTAGGGGCCTTGGATCAGACCACTTTGGGCTATCTTCATCAACATAAAATCCTTCAATTAATACTTGCATTAATAAAATGAAAGCTAGCATAAGGAGAGGAGACATTAATTATCATGCAATGAGTGACTTACACAGCTCCCAGAGCTGTGTCACAAGGGATGAATAGCCTTTCATGAGCTTTTCCTCAGCCAGCTCATTTATAATAAATGCAGTACAGCATCAGCATATAAAAACTTGGGGGAGATTTAAAACTGATTTCTCATAAAGCAAACCAATACTTTGGCTGTATTTGAAAGTAGGTTCCGTCCAGTTTATTAAGATCTTGCTGGCTCTCTTAATACCTAATTAATGCACCTCTATGCCATGGAGTAAAAATGTCCCAATGGCTTGAAGGCAGAAAGCAAAAACACTCCAGCTGGGGAACTAGCCAAGATTTCAGGGTGTGGAGTAAAGAGTTCAATAGAGGTGGCCTGCTCTTAGATATATTCACATTTGGAGTGTGTTTTTGAGAGGATTTGTTGTGGCTACTCTTGTATAACTCATAAAAATAGGACGGGTTACTTCCACACTAGAGCCCTTAAGTGCTGCTAAGGCACTGCTTTTCTACAATGAGCTGGAAGTGGAATAAAAATGGAACATACAGCACTTTATTCTAACTTGATATCCCTCCTCATGCCATCCTCCTATAATATTAACTCAAAAGTCCCATTCAGCAAAAAAATTTCTGTCCATTTAAAAGTTTATTTCTTGCACTTCCGGCTCATTCCATTGCTTTTCCTAGAGAGTGATAAAAAGCTTGTTAATTACCCCCTGAACCAGGCTTCCTCAGCCTCGGCCCTCCAGGTGTTTTGAGACTACAATTCCCATCATCCCTGACCACTGGTCCTGCTAGCTAGGGACCATGGGAGTTGTAGGCCAAAAACATATGGAGGGCCAAGGCAGAGGAAGCCTGCCCTGAACAATTTTTCTTAATTACTCTAATTTCAGTTTCTGTTCCCCTGGATTTACTGACCAGTTGCATTGTCCACCCCACCCCCGCCTTCCATTGTTACTGAGAAACAGCATTAATATGCTATTTAACAGAAGAAGAAGAATCCAGCTACCAAAAGGCACAGAAATTGAGAGAGGCTATTCAAGGAGCAATTCACTAACTCCACACACCCCTCCCAGCCATGCTCAACAAGAAGCAATAAAATGTGGTGAAGCAACAAACAGTAAGTATTTAATTAAAGGCACAGGAGCCTTAATGGAACCATGGCTATACTTCAACTGCATTTCATTAAAAAAATAATATACAAACCAGGGCTCATAGAAGACAGGAGGACAACACAGAAGACATTGGAATGCCAGAAGCTGCCAAATAGGTTGTCTAGATGCTACATAAAGAGTGTGCGAACAAAGGATGATGTTCCCTCTGAAAAGTGCCAGTTTGGAAGCAATCAAAGTTATTTACTCAGGGCAAACATTTAGCCTTTTAGGTAACTGGATTAGATCCTCTGGAATGCTTATTTAGTACATAGAACCACTTCAGTTTTGATACTTTGGATGCAAAACTAACAGATTGTTTAAAAGTACAGGTGTTCCTAGAGATGGGGGTGGGTGCTTCACTTCTGCCTTCCTAAATAGGGCCTTTATTTTAGAGTCATATTTCCAAAGCTAGCTGCTGTTAGCTTACCAGTAGTTTCGGCTTCCAACACAGTTATTTAGCCAATTACAGTGATGGTCAAAGTCCGCAATACACTTATTGCAGGTACTACAGTGTTTGGTTTTTGGCCCTCTGAGGAGAAGAAGAGATACATTAAATAGAATACAATAGAATTCAGGTACTAAAATAGACCACATAAATAAAGGCTGTCTCATGTTTATGGTAAGTCTAAATATTTATACATTGCATTTACAAAATGTACATGGAACTGATGAGCCATCCATGCACAACCAGAAGAGCCATGCAGGAAGTCAGAGATTTTTTTTTTAATGTGAAAGAACTGCACTGGATTAGAAATACAGATATGAATAGCAAGCCTCTGAACCATCTTTAAGGATAGCCTCACACAGAGTTCATCACAGTAGTTAACCAGGAAGTTTATCCAAGAGCAGGGAAAGCTGTAGGCTCTCCGAACCACTGTGGCTCCTTGAACCTTCAAAGACAAAGAAAATTCCCAGAGTTCTCCTGGAGTAGGTACTTGAATTTTAGGGGGAGTGCAACCCGATCCGAAACAAGGTGCGTCTCGCTTCCTAGATATGGAAACCAAGCAGCTGCAGCACCTCCCTGCCTTCACTCACCCTCGTCGCTGCACACTTTGAGATCGGTTTCCATGGCCCTGCTTGACGCCTATCTACCTGTGGGATCAGTTAAGCTAGCAGGCAAGGGGCAGGGCTTTTCTTGGCAGAGGGCCTCCATCTGAACTCAGGCCACATCCCAATAAGTTTTCTGCTTTTAATTTGGCTGCTGAAATTGATGGTGCTGTTTTTATTTTAATTATGTGATGTTTTTACAAGCATATTGGGTTTTCATGTATTATTATTATGCAATCATCTCAAGGTGATGTACAATAAAATAACAAAAGCAATTTATAAACAGGAAATGCCCTGGCCATTTTAGCATTATCGGGTGTTTCAAAGTTTTAAGTTACATTTCTATGTATTTATATTGTTCTTGCGTATTTAGTTTTATGCAGTACATTTGCTTGCCTTGTGAGGAAATATTTCAGAAAATCAGGATATGGATTTGCACTGTTGTGATAACAGAAAGTGAACTGAGCAGGAGGATGGCAGCCATGGCCCTTTATGGTTGTGCAAAACACTAGCCTAGGTGGCGAATTTTCTCTCGAGTGAGCTTCCTGCAGGTCCAGAACGCATATGCGTAATTGCACAGAGACAAATAACTAGTACAAAGGAGCAGTTTAAGCAGCAAGAGGCAAATAGCAGAGGAAAACCAGTGCAGGCAAATAAGTAGGTCTCTTCTTTGCTGTGCTGTAATGGGAGTGACTAGGGACGCGGGTGGCGCTGTGGGTTAAACCACAGAGCCTAGGACTTGCCAATCAGAAGGTCGGCAGTTTGAATCCCCGCGACGCAGTGAGCTCCCGTTGCTTGGTCCCTGCTCCTACCAACCTAGCAGTTCGAAAGCACGTCAAAGTGCAAGTAGAAAAATAGGTACCGCTCCGGTGGGAAGGTAAACAGCGTTTCCATGCGCTGGTCTGGTTCGCCAGAAGTGGCTTAGTCATGCTGGCCACATGACCCGGAAGCTGTACGCCGGCTCCCTCGGCCAATAAAGCGAGATGAGCGTCGCAACCCCAGAGTCGGTCACGACTGGACATAATGGTCAGGGGTCCCTTTACCTTTAATGGGAGTGACTTACACATCAGCTTCACAAAGATAGCAGTACTGGTTCTGAATAACATGCTTGCATTTGCTTCGGTCAAAAATTGGCATTGGTTTCTTGTAATTTTTCTTCTTCAGTATATTTTGATCTGCTGGATCGATAGTGACTGCAACAAGATGAGTGATTAAGTGATGCACAAAAATTAAGCCAATCACCTGCATTGTAATGAGGTTAAGGAAAAGTCAAAAAACAAGAGAATATAAGAGTCTGGAAATGTTTTTTACATTTGTTACATTAAGTCACCAGATTTGCTTAGGTGCTTCAGTATTCAAATGGCCAGGTAGAAAGCTCTGTCACTGGTATTCTTTTCTCTTATGACACAAACAAAGGCTACTAGTTTTAGTGGATTTGTTTGCAAGACTCCGGAAGAGCAAAATACTAGTTTCTGTCTGATTGTCATAGATTCAGTATTGCACCATCACCATTTTTGCCATATTTCAAAAAGTAAAATTCCTGACACCCACAAAGCCATTGAGCTTTCTTTGGGGAGACCTAACATTTTGCAGATTCAGCAGAATTCCCCCTCGACACCATTTTTACACCTGAAAACCAGGACATGTCAGGCAGTGGAGGAGCTTCATGCTCCGGCACTAGGGGCGGAGAGCGGGGGGGGGGGGGCTAGCGCGCGTCCTGGGGGCAGGGCATGCTGCCTGTGGGGCAACCGTGATGGAACCCCACCAGGATCGCACTGCCGGGGGTGGTGCACTCCCCCCCTTCCTCCGCCAGTGATGTCAGGAAAAGGAAATTCCCATACACCACAGTTCTATACAAGTAGAACTGAATGTCTTTAAGACATCAAAGCAGTACAATAATTCATTCTGATAAGGTACCACACCTGGCCAACACATCTTGAGACTCCATTGCTTGTAGGAAAGGCAATCTCAAACAATCTCAGATGCCCTCCTTACTCTCCCCAGAATAGGAAAATTCCTGTTTAGGTACTATAGTTGTTTTTATTTAAAAGTTTACTAGTTCCATATATGAACATTTTTACAAAGGAAAGACAAGGTCCTTCAATAGCCATGCATGATATGAAAAAAAAATATCTACCCATTATATTTCAGCTTCTTGAACCAACAGATCTAAAAGTGCTCCCACTCATACAATAACAACCAACTATCACCAAATGTTTTAATTCCTTTCTATATGGCCATCAGCCCCATCAGCTAGCTTGGCTGACAGTCAGAGATGATGCAAGCTTTATTCCAACATCAGGGGAGAACCCTGATCAAACAAGATCAACAAGATGACAACCCTAGAAGCAGATCCTCTATAAGAAAGCATTACAACAACTTCATCTTCAAGCAACTTGGAAGTTTCTAAGCAGAGGCTGGATGGCCATCTGTCACGGGTGCTTTAGTTGAGATTCCTGCATTTCATGGGGTTGGACTAGATGACCCTTGGGTCCCTTCCAACGCTACAATCTTATGGTTCTACAATTCACTAATCAATCCATTAAATCAACTGGCAGTCATGTTTAAATCTGTTTGAACAGGATATTTCAAGTTCAGGAAAATGGTTCTCATTTTTCATTTGTGATTTAAAGTTTTATTACTAAAATAATTGTTTTTCTAGTTGATGCTCAAATGGAGCAGAAGGGCCAAAAACTGCATCTGGCACCCATACTTGAACACTTGTTCTAACTTGACAATTATATTCTCACTTTAAACTGGATCATCATGTGCAAGAATAATTGAGGGCACCATTAAGTCTTCCTAGCAACAATCATGTGTTTAGTACACAAACAGTGTATCAATTACAGGATTTATGAGTTTCCTATTCACAATGTTAGTGTCCTTCCTGACCCCTGGACTCCTCATCCTGTACAGGAAGGGAAAAACTTTACTGAGCCTTTTAAAAAGAGCAGCTAAATGAAGCAGCCGAGCCACATTACACAAAGCACACTACAAATGACTGTTGGTTTAAAATATATTACTGAATGATCACAATCAAGTTTTAAAAGTATAAACAGAGGGATAATACATTTTGGTTCCTCCAAAAGTTCAGTCCAGACAAGACCCTACTCCTCTGAAAGACAAAACCCCACAAGTTTCAAGTAAGGCTGCAATCCTATGCACACACTTAACTGGGGAAAAGGCCCATTGGTTGTAATAATGCTGTAATAATACTACTGAACATTGCTGTTCACTGCAGGTTTGCCGACATTAGTCGCCCACGAAAATGTTTAGCAGCTTGCGAGATGAGCATTTTGACATTTCCCTTGAGGACATAAACCACCTGATTTAGTAAAGATGCCTGCCTGGTTCTGTGCCTGAAAAGCGTGGGCCAAATGTGGCCCATGAGCTTGGCCTAATTTCATGAGGGTGGGAGACCCAGAAGGAGAGAAGGAAGGGGGAAGTGGAAAAGGTGGAGGTGGAGAAGAGAGTGAAAACACAACAGCCCTGCTCGCCCCTAACATGTGGTCTGGATTGCAAAAAAGATCAGTCACATTTCAAAACAACTCACAACTTGCACCTGTTTTCAGAATACAATGCGAGAGTGAGAGTGCAATCCTATGCAGGCTGCAATTGTAACCCTACTTACCTGGAAGTAAGTGCCTCTGATTCCAGAGGGAGTTACTTTGGAGTAAGCTTGCTGAGAATTGCAGCCTAAGTCTCCTTGCATTAAATGGAGCTTACTCAGAAGTAACTGGATCCAGAATTGCGGCTTAGGAACTGGTTATTCCTCTCCCCACGCATGACATATTCAGTTCATTTGCAGTGTTAGTTTTACCACAGGATTTTAAACAGAAGGGGAAAGGATACAGCATAGGCGACCAATTTCCATTCATTTGGGAGAAGAGGAATGTAGATACCAAAGCCCACTATGGCCAAGTATGAATAAAGCACCAGGGTGATCAACTGGAACGAGTGGAGTGGTAAAGACCAGCCGTTCACTCTGGAGTGCAGTGGAACCACCATGTGGTCATTCAGCTGCTCAGGACTTGTCTGCCTCAGCTTCTTGTCATAGCAGGTCATCTGCAAGACAGAACCCAGAATCACCTGTTAAAAATAGCCAGTGTGCTTTCTAGGCCGAGAAAGAAAGAAACAACAGCGACACAAAGAGGCACACTGTGGGATGGGAAGTAGATCTCAGACACTGCATCTTGCTCTTTCACAATTCTGCAAGAATGTTACATCACCCACCCACGTCCCACCACTGCTTTGAGGTTTCCCTCCCCAACCAAGTGGTATACAAATTTTAAGAAATAAATCACTTGCACCAAGAGACACACAAAATGCTCTTATTGATGTGGCAGGTACCCTTAGAGAAAAAGGCGCATCATTTGTCAAGCTTTCAAATCTCTAGTAAACGCAAAATTTTTGAGATATGGCAATTAAAAGTTAATTATTTCCTTGTGGTTTTGTTAATCCAGAAAGGAAAAAAAATCTGCTTTCCTAAAGCAGATGGCAAAATAAAGCTAAGCAGTGCTCCTTCCCAAGACGAGTGTAAGAATATAAATCCAAGACTACGGAATAAAAAGTTTCATTGTGATTTGCACATTAGTCATCTTAAGTCACACATTAATTCAAGGTCAACTCTGCCCTTCTCCTGATCAGATTTACTTCCTGATTAGGTTTACGTCCTATGCGGCTGTGGAAGCCCAGTTAGGGTTAGGTGTGCCAAGTGCTAGGGGTGGAAATGTCTTCGGCCCCCTCAATATCGGCTGGCAGGGGGCTGGGCCCCCTTGGTGCTGAGGGCATGGAGAAGGCCGAGCATAGAGCGGAGGGTGGCGCAGTTCAGCGGCTGACTCCTCTTGAGCATGAGAAAGGAAGCCGCGCTGGGCTGGGCTCTGCCATCAGCCTCCTCCCAATGATGTGATGTTGCATGCATGATGTCACACACACACACATCAGGCACATGACGGTGTGTGCGCGTAACGTCACACAAGTGAAACGCACGCAAGGGCCACACAATCTTAGGTGCAGGGTGGCACCGCTGGTTAGGATGGTCCACCCCTAGAGGCTAATGAATCTGGATGGTTTTCTGGTGCCTCTTTCCCAGCTAACCCTGGTGGAGCTCTTGAATTCAGAGATGTCCCAGGAAGTTGACCTGGAGGCCTGGTTCACACGTCTTGGTAGGGTGAACTAGGGCTTACAGGGACAGGCTTCCAGAAGGGAACCTGCAGCTGCTTTGTTCCTTTCTAGTCTCTCTCACTCCTGTGCTAACTCCATCAAGGCAGCACATTTTTCATCAAGAATTGTCAAAGAAATTCACTCACCGTCACAAGATATTTGAAACGTTACATAAATCATTGTATTATCTCCTGCAGGGACAGCCAGTGTATGCCCCCCAGATGTGGATTACAACTCCCATCATCCTGCATGGCCAATCATAGTCATGGATGATGGGAAATGTAGTCCTGCAATTTCTGGAAGGCACCATGCGGACTACCCCTGCTCTCCTGGAATAAATATATTCTTCCTTGTGCATGCTACTACAAAAATGGTAACCAAATGCTTTTTTCAGAACGTAATCAAACATTTTTGAGAAGTGTAGTAAAGAGCCTCCCTTCAAGCATCTCATGCAACCCAAGCCTGTTTTAAACAAGCAGCACAGGATTCTTAGCCGCGTTCTTAGTCCTACATTTTCCTGCCACCATTCATCAATGAACACCAGCAAGCCTTTGAGAGTTGCTCTCTCCCGTTTACATAATGGCATTAGACAATCTACGAGAAAGCATGCCTAGGTAGCTCTAGGGAACAAGGATTTTTTGGGGTGCATAATGCAAGGAAGTGACCAAAGGACTCATCAGTGCTTTTAAAACATATACCTGCATTGTTCTGTGTTCAATAAGACATGATGTTATTCCCATTTGCTGGAAGTCTCCCCACGGCACAAGAGATGCCTCTCCAATGCAATTACTGCACAATAAAGAACGAGCATTTGCAACACTCCTCTCCCTACGCTGATTGAATCCTGCACTATGTCTTCAAAAGCCAATTTCTCTCACCATAGCGAACCTGCAGTCAAGAACGCAGCAAATGTCCCCCTGGTGGTGTGGTGGCTTTTACTTTTTGGTTATCAAAAATTCTCTTATTTAAAGCATTGCCCAAACATACATTCACTGTCTTTTCTATTGTTTACAATACACAACATTACCTGATTATCAGCTATTATTCTCATAAATACATTTTCCCCTTTTTAATACAAATAAGAGAACAAGAATCACATACCCTCCAACATTTCTTCAGTGAACATAGGGACGTTCCATTTCATAATGATAATTTTTCTATTTATACCCCGCACATCCTACTGGGTTGTCCCAGCCACTCTGGGCAGCTTCCAACATATATATATATCCAATAAAAATAGGGACATCCTAAGGAAAAGTGGAACATTCTGGATCAAATCAGAAACCGGATGGCTTCTCTAAATCTGGGACATCCCTGGAAAACAGAGACACTTGGGAGGGTCTGGAATGAAAATAAAACAAAGTAACTTCCTACCAACCAAATTCCCTTATATCTCAGGTTATGTGTGATAGATTATTATTGATGTCTCAGGTGTATTGTAGTCCATATACATATATGATTTTAGAAAAGAAGAGTTCCATTGAATGCTTAATTATAGTGTTATACCACAGTAATTTACTAGGAATAGTCAGGTGGCTAATTACATCTGTTGTAATTAGGGTGGGAGATGCTCCCAGGTGAGAGCTGGGGACACACGTCTTTTTCTGCATGGGACAAACGTTGGAATATACTTGTGAGAGAGAATCTTGTGTCTTCTTTTCTTTCCTTTTTCCTATTTCAATATTCTTTGTGTGGGTTGGTGTGTCTTTTATCTTATTGCGAAAATGTTAAAGAAAACTTTAATGAAAAGTAATTCTTGTACAACCCAGTTTGGTAATCACGTATGTAAAATAATAGATTGTTCTCATAATAAATAATCCCTGTGATACTGGTTGTGTTCCAGCTTGCACAAAAGCACTTGCAAAAATGCAAAAGAGATCTATTCATACAACTGTAAATTGTGCGAGCTAGGGACCTCCAGTGGTGAGCTGCGTGAACTTTTGCAAGACAGATATCACGTGCTACACAGAGATGAAAATGCAGAAGTTAAAACTTCTTATATCTAACATGTAACTATATGCAATCTCCTTCTGCATAAAATGCATGCTTTAATACCACTATGGTTTCTGTAGTCTCTTGTGACAGAAGAGAGTTCTACTTGTCATCAAAGCTTCCCCAAACCAGACTTGGGTCTCAGCACTCCAAGTGAAATACCTAAAATTTCCCTAAGAGTCACGGGGCTGGTTCACACACAATGTTAAACTATGACTGAACACTACACACGGACAAGTGTTGGTCTCACAAGCCCCCTGCCTCTCACCTCTTTCTCTCACACTCTGGTTAGCATTTATCAAATCAAATCAATCTTCATTATGGTCCAGAAACCCAACAAATCGCTACAAAGCAATGCACAATTCATACAGCCTACCTCCAGGTTAAACAAGCATTTTGTTCAAAAGATAGGGATCATTGGTTCTTGCAACCACCGATAAAAACTTTGCCACTGCTAATGTTCTAGCGTTTGTCCGGTCTTCCAATAGGAACCTGACATAGTGAGCCTTTATTGTCCTATAATCAATAGGTTTAAAAGGTGTCTGGTTAAAAAACGGAAATACAAAAGAACCCCTACCTGGCATTTGACTCTATCTGAAAACAATTTTTAGTAAGTTGTTTAAGGGGCAGAAATTTCCCTTCATCCTTGGCAAATGAAATTATGTAGACCACAGGATCAGATTTTAAAGAAAGAATAGTTTTTAATACAGTGGTAACTCGGGTTACAGACGCTTCAGGTTACAGACTCCACAAATCCAGAAATAGTACCTCAGGTTAAGAACTTTGCTTCAGGATGAGAACAGAAATCGTGCAGCGGCAGCATAGTGACAGCGGGAGGCCCCATTAGCTAAAGTGGTACCTCAGGTTGAGAACAGTTTCAGGTTAAGAACGGACCTCCGGTGTTAGGTTGTGGGCGAACATGTCAGACGACACAGCGATTCTTTAAACAGCTCTTCTTTATTCAGATGCCAGAACAGAACTAGGCTGAGGAGCTCAGTCAGCCTGCTCCAGAACAATGCAACTGTTGCCATTTTCTAAAACTATCCAATCACTGAACGTCACTTTTCGATCCTTCATTTGCATACAAAACTATCCAATCACTGAACGTCACTTTTCGATCCTTCATTTATAGTGCCACTGTATTCTGCTCTGGTCAGACCTTGAGTACTGTGTCCAGTTCTGGGCACCACAGTTCAAGAAGGACACTGACAAACTGGAATGTGTCCAGAGGAGGGCAACCAAAATGGTCAAAGGCCTGGAAACGATGCCTTATGAGGAACGGCTAAGGGAGCTGGGCATGTTTAGCCTGGAGGAGGTTAAGGGGTGATATGATAGCCATGTTCAAATATATAAAAGGATGTCATATAGAGGAGGGAGAAAGGTTGCTTTCTGCTGCTCCAGAGAAGCGGACACGGAGCAATGGATTCAAACTACAAGAAAGAAGATTCCACCTAAACATTAGGAAGAACTTCCTGACAGTAAGAGCTGTTCGACAGCGGAATTTGCTGCCAAGGAGTGTGGTGGAGTCTCCTTCTTTGGAGGTCTTTAAGCAGAGGCTTGACAACCATATGTCAGGAGTGCTCTGATGGTGTTTCCTGCTTGGCAGGGGGTTGGACTTGATGGCCCTTGTGGTCTCTTCCAACTCTATGATTCTATGATTCTATGATTTGCATAACTATCTACAGTATCCCCCTGCTGGCCCAGGGTGAGAACTTCAGTACATAACATCTGGAATGGATTAAGTTCTTAACCAGCGGTACCACTGTAGTGTTGATGCCTCACATTAACTTGACACCACATAGCAGTGCCCAAACATGCGGTGTACAGAGGTGAAAAATGCCCTCACAGCATGGTTAAACATCAGGAAAGGTGAAATACTTTGATTGTGGTCTGCACTGAAACAGGTAACAGGCCAGTTCTGAGTAAAGTGCTTTAACTGGAACTTGGCAGATGACTGTTGGTGTGCTATAAGCACCAGACATTTTAGGGAGTCCAACGCTCAACTCCACTTCCACCCCAAGATGCCATTTCAGTTTCCGTATACAAGAATCTGGCAGGCAGTTGTACAAGTGCTGATGATGCATGATTTATACCCCCCCCCCAAAAAAAAAGATCCAGAGTTATTATGAACACAAGAGTCAGTCATACATTCCTCAGTTATGGGAAGATTAAGCCATCAGCTCTGCCCCAATTAAGAGCCCTTTCAAACTCATAAAAGTAGTAAAATATGATGATCATTTAGCTTATGTCTTTCTCTTAAGAGCATGGAGGAAGTTACTGACTGTTGCTACAGCCAAATGCAAGGAAGCATTTTGTCCTCTTGAATGACAGTTTCAATACAAAGCCCGCTCTCCAAAGCACTTCATTTTTGTTTCTTAACTACAGCAACTGCAACACTCACTGATCGCTTTTAAAAACTGAAATGTAATCCTGCACCTCTGTTCTGGAGGTTTGTCTGACACCGACTGGTCCTCAAACACACTTTTATTTTCCACAGCCCTTTGTATCTTAGCTTGTTTGTACCTTTTCTGAAGCTTTCTGTGCTATTTTTCTATTCTGCTTCTACTTTTTGTATGTTTTGTTGCATACTTATTGTATTCTGACTCTGTAAACTGCCCTGGGAACTTGTCTTTCTGGAGGGAAGGTGTTATTTTCCAGAAAGGGGATTTTTTTCACTGCTGAGAGAATGAAAGGAAAATAAAACCCTGACTATTGGGAGAATTTTCTCTAGTTCTTTGTGGAATCTTACCAATAGGCACCTTCTTACCTTTAAAAGTATCCCGTCGCCAGTTGCATAACCTTTGCTAGTACTTGGTATGGCAGAAAAGTTATCTGCAGTTTAAGCATGGTAAACCATTAAGGAAAGTTCAGATACTCCTCAGGTATTTGTAATGGAAGCTCACAAATTTTTAAAAAAAGTAACTGAAAAGGCAGCTATTTCAGCATATTAACCCCTCCTAGTATATCTGTTCCCAGAATCCTCTGTAACATGTGCAGCTTCTGTTTCCTAGCAAGCAAGTTGATGTGAGAGTATTCCTTGATGGTTGAAATATATGGAAAAGCTGGGAAATGTCAGTATCTGCCCACAAACAGATGGTAATGTTTCAGAGGGACTAAGTTTATAAGTGAGCAGTTTATAAAGTTTATAAGTGAGCAGCTACTGAGTGAAACACATTTGTTGATGAAGTAAAGCAGGATTTCCCCAAATTTCTGCCTTCCGTCTCACTTGCTTACTTTCAGAAATAATTGGTACAATGCTAATTCTTCTGCTTCTGTCCTAAGAGAGCCCTCGGTATACAGTGCCAGTAATTCAGCGAAAAGCCCAAAGTCCAGCATAATTTCTCCTTTTTGACTTACGTCTGCGATGTTCAGCATGTTCTCCTGGCCAGCCCGCTGCTCCCTCGCTTCCCAGGGCCGTGCAGAAAGAGGTTTGGATGAGCTCTACAACTCCGGTGGGATCTTTCCCCCTGTGGGTCGAAATGTCATGTAGTATTACCAGAAAGTTGGGCATTTAAAGGATCTGTCTCTGTCAGCATGGCCCTTAACAACTTTTAGAAAGACTTGCTTAGTTTCTTTTTAACAGAGCAACTCCCTTTGTAGCTATGGAAACCGTTTCCACTCCACTTCTTGGCAAGGCCGTGGTTCTCCTGGGTCCTACAGAGGACGTGGTTCAAGCAGCCGCCCTGCTGTCATCTACCTGCAAAACTTTGGTTTGTCAGGATTATGACAGAAACCCACTGATTTCTTATTAGAGGTAATTGTCAGAAAAACAAACTTTTAATCAAATTTCTGAGCAAGCAAAAGCCAGCCGCCACCATAGATGAACTGCCTAATACAAAATAGCAGAAAATACCCACCTCACCAAAGTCCGGTTGCTGAGTGCTTCTCTGATACGAAATCAGACAAACATTAGTTGACGCAAGATTTTCAGATGAACTTCTCTAAACAGGAGACCTACGACTGGAGGCGGGGAGAGCTGCTAGCTTTTTCTTTTGTTTTTACCAGGCTATACTTCTTTAACAACAGCATGCTATGCAGATATTAGAAGAGAGTGCTGTGAAGACCTTTACCTGATTTCCCCCCAAGATCAAGCTTTTGTTAAAGGCACAGAAGCAAGTCTGACTGTGTTTTCCTCACCAGTTTTCCACTCAAGCAACGACAGGTGAGCTGTGGGGCCTTAAAGCCTCTAACCCTTTTAAATATTTGTTTTGGCATTCTTTAAAATAATATACATTGCTGACTTCTGCCAGTATTTGCTAAGGATTTGTGCCATGGCGTGATTTGCAGTCCAGCGCTTCACAGTGAATGGGATCACAGCCTCAGTCCTATTAATTCTGCTGAGGGACTATGACCATCTCAATTTTCCAACCCCACTTATTTATGAGCGAGCCCCATTGAATTCAATAGGACTTACATAGTTAGGGTTCCAAGCTAAGTAACTCTGAGAAATGTTTGGAATCTTGAGGTGAAACCCATAATTCATATTATTCTGGAGTAGTTGTATTATAGTTAATAGAACTACCTCGGTGTACACAGGTTGTGAACTGCAGTATTAACAGGGCCACTTAAACATTTGTGATTCACATCCTGTCAACAGTTAGCTGCCCCAAAAGAGGTTCAGGGACATAGGAAGCTGCCTTCTACCCAGCCAGACTCTTGGATCACCTTGCTCAGCAGCTCCTAAGTATTTCAGGCAGGAATCTTTCCCATCCTCTGCCTGGAGATGCCATGGGTTGGACCATAGCTGTCAACATTTCCCCCTTTTTAAGGGAAATTCCCTTATTCCGAATAGGATTCCTCGCAAGAAAAGGGAAAAGTTGACAGCTATGGGTTGGACCTGGAACCTTCTGCATGCAAAGCACTTGCTCCACCACTGAGCTATGACCCCTCCCAATTCCCGCGGGTTTCATCCAGAATCAGCCCAGTAACAATACTGGGGTATTACTTTTCAGCTAAAATGATTCTTAAAGCTGCTCACTTTAATAAAATGAGGTTTATAGGACAATCATATTGGCTTCACAGTAACATATCAGGAATATCTGGTGACTGGAAATTTGTGTGGTGAGCAGACTTTGGAAAATCCTCTGAAACCTTGCAAAAGGCAAACAAGGAAGGAACAAATGCTCTGTTATTTGTCCAATCTCTTTCCCCTCCTTCCCTCCCTCCCACCATTGCTTCTGGCAGACCAGCAAAACACAAAAGAAGTAAGGCTGGTTTAAGGCTGCTTATTTGTTTACAAGTATTATATGCAGGTCCAACTGTTTGGATATCTGAATCTGCAGCGTCTATAGCAAGGCTTGGGTACTAATTCCTTGCCTTCCATTAAGTGAATTTTAATTTAATGAGCATTTGGAAGCGTGTAACAGTTTGTGCCTCCTGAATGAAAAAACCTTTATTTTCTTTGACACTTTATCTACTTTTAACTCTGGGACTGGAGGCATCTGTTAGTGATACATGATAATAAACCTCTATACATGTATGATGTTCTAAGTGCACTGAAAGAAATGCAGGTGTCAAACAATGATCCAAAAAAGTCTCTAGACATAATTAATCCTCCCACCAGCTGTATTATTACCAGGCAACTCCTATATACTACCTCTAAAGCTAATCTTCCTCCCCCCCAGGTATCCAAAATTTACTGAATGTGGAATAAAAACAACCTGTGACTGGAAGACCTCCATCTGGTCCGGAAGGGCCGTGTCAGCCTCTTTTTGGAATGTTGGAGCTGTGAAAACTGGAGTGGTCGCCTTGGCAACCAACTGACAAGGGACCGGGTTACCTGAAGAACTTAAGGTGTTAAGGTCAGGACATTTTGTGACCTATTAAAAACCTCCTCAATCTTTACACCGCACCTAGTCCTGCAAACCTTGCTGTTTCCTCATAACTTGGGAATACTGGTATTTTTCAAAATGAAGGAGTGCGACACTTTGGGCACCTTGACTGCATGGCAGTTATTTTGCATTAATAAAAACGAAGATCTTTCAAAATTAGATTGAGGAAAATATTTGTTTTTACTTAAAAGCGTTTATTACTTGCTATTTACTTGCTATTTCAAAAATCTCAAATTTACTTGCTATTTCAAAAATTTACTTGCTATTTCAAAAATCTCTACAGTTACCTTGAGAATAAAAAGTGCCTACAGCAAAAGTAGCACTTTTAACTGTGCTTCTTACCACATTATGGCATTTTCCTAAGCAAAGAAGAGAACCGCCAGTCCTCTGATTCCCAGCCATACTAATAGAATTTAGAAATTAGAAATACTAATTTCCTTCACTTTTATTCAGACACACTTCCTCAAACACAGACAGGCGGTATTTTTCACTGAGCTCCACAAGTTAATCACAAAACGCCACTTTAAGATATCTATCGGAGCTTTGGCTATATCATTCTCTTCTGCTATGTTCTCTTGGGTCGCTTTTCTCTCCGTTGTGCCTTTATTCCTTTTTCCTCCAATATCGCGATTACTTTGCTGTGTCCCACAGAAATGAAATGGAAATCAAAGGCACTGGAAGGGTCACCTCCCACGGAGAGTGCATTGACCTCACTGCTGACTTCATAATGTTTGACTTTGGGCTAAATGACATCACACAGCTGGGAAGGCAGCAAACTACACAAACCTTAACAGCGCAACACTTAAAACATGTGCCCTTCCACTTTTCCAGGAACAGAAACGGTTCACTTTCCACAACCTGTTGCTAAAAGGCTAGGCGCCTCTACAAACTCACAGCCCTATGGTTATACAGTGGTACCTCGGGTTAAGTACTTAATTCATTCCAGAGGTCTGTTCTTAACCTGAAACTGAAGCACCACTTTAGCTAATGGGGCCTCCTGCTGCCACTGTGCCGCTGGAGCACGATTTCTGTTCTCATCCTGAAGCAAAGTTCTTAACCCGAGGTAATATTTTTGGGTTAGCGGAGTCTGTAACCTGAAGCGTATGTAACCTGAAGCGTATGTAACCCAAGGTACCACTGTATTTTGGAATCAGTTATTGTGATTTATAATTGCTTGCACGGCTACTCAATGTGTGACGGGGTTCAATTTTCTAAGTGTAAGAAAACTCAATAAAGATAATTTACAAAAAAGTAATAAATAATTCCCATGTCAACAACTGCAGATCCAGGACTTTCCCCCATCTAATAATCCTTCATGCAATTCTGCACTGTAGACAGGTTAGTATGTACAGTACCAGGTTGCATTTAAAATGTCACATCTATACTGTATTACTGTATAACACATCTATACTGTGTTAACTTTTATTGGTTTTCAGCAGATTATAAACACAGCACATAACTTCTCCTGTTCCCCTTCCCTTCTCCCTTCCTCCCAGAACAGATGATCAGTTTATCATTTGTGAATTTGGTGGATGCTAATAATTAGAAAGTCCTTGAGAAAATCATATACATCACAGGGATATCCACAAATAACCCCCCCCGGCCCCACCCCCAGTCTCTTACATCTCAGCCTGTTACCCCTTTTATATTAACTGGTTGTATGTTAGTCCACTTGTCTGTCTACTTGTCTATTCCCTGCTTCAATAACGCCACTGAGGCATCTAGGAAAACCCCAGAGAAGCCCTTAAAACACAGCCCAGATGCGACAAAAATGACCGCCTAATTCCAACGCTCTGTAAAAGCCATCAGTCAACAATGCCTGTCCAGCTCAGCAACCCAACAACACCCAGGAACCATCATCATCAGCACAACTCTCAACATAACACGACCCACTCCAAAAGGACGCCAAGCGGATCCCAAACCAAAACCATACGGGAGAGCGAGACACCAACCAGGGAGATGGCAAACAGCGCTGAGACCACAGCACCCCTTCAAGATGATGACCACCCAACAACGAAACAAGATCTGAGGGAAATGGAAACGAGATTAGCAGAAATACTGAAGGCCACAGCGGCTCCCCTGCAGATATTAATCAACGACCTAACCTCCAAAGTGGAAGCTCTAGAGAACAACTGCAACCCCTTGTGGAGGCAAATTAACAAAGACCTAAAGAGGTGCAAACAACGCAAACTTCACTCTCTCAGACAAAATAGCCATGATCAAAATGATCCCCCTCCCAAAACTAACCTACCTATTCCAAACCCTCCCAATCTGGATCCCCCAACCCAACTCTGAAAATGGCAGAAAAAACTACACTTATTTATCTTCTCTCACACACAAAAAAACCAAGAATAAGCCCAAAATATCTGCACCTCCCCTCCTCAGAGAGAGGGTGGGGAATCCCCAACATAGAAGCATATTACATTGCTAACCAAATGCACCACATAATCCCATATATACTAGGAGATGAGACAAAACAATGGATACACCTAGAGAGGGACACAATTGAAAATACCTGCACCACAGCATACCCATTCCTTCCAAACAAACTAAGGAAAATTCCCACAACACTCACCAAGTACACACAGACATAGGCGCCGACTCCATGGGGCTTGAGGGGGCCCGAGCCCCTCAAAAATTCGTTTGGGGGGCTCCGCCCCCCCAATAATCTCCGGCGCCCCTCCAGCAGAGCGCCATCGCCGCCCCTCCCCCAGCCCAAAATGCACAGGGAGGGGCGGGCTGCATGCCTCCTGCCCTCCCTCCCGAGCAAAAGCTCCGCCCAATTTCCTTTGGAGCTGATTAATAGGCGCAGCACGCTCTCCCCTATTCGCTCACGAGGAGGCGGCGCCACTTTATTTGCATATTCATGAGCTTATTTATTATTCATGAGCTTTCCCGGGCCCCCCCAATATTTTTATAAGTCCGCGTCCCTGCACACAGACCATGCTCAAAGCATGGAAAACAGAAATAGACTAACTGTCCAACACCATCCCCACTAATTCCCCTGGCACACCACCCACTAGTCCATCACACAGCACAAAACCTCCAAATAAAAACCTGGCAAACCAAAGGCCTATATCGCCTAACAGACTTCTATAAAAATAACAAACCCTTGTCAACACAAGAAATACAAGACAAACTAGAGGACACCCAATTGCCCTGGTTAACACATCACCAATTACATGCAGTCTTAAACAATCCAGCAGTAAAATCAGCAGCAACTAGGCCCCTGACAACCTTCGAAAACCTCCTAACAACAAAGGGACACGGCAAAGGGATGGTATCCGCAATATACAAAATATACCCCAACCTCTCACCACCAAAGGAATGCAAGCGAATAGCAAAGAGAACCCACACAAGCGATGCTGACACAAAACCCCACACATACATTAAGCAAAATAGAAACCTCGCCTCCCACCCCCATGGCCCCCTCCACCTCTTCCCCCCTTTTCTTCCTAATGTAACCCTAATGTCTCAACAAATGAAACTGACCTATGGAAAATGTAACTTGAAAAAAGAGACATTGTGCATACCTCTGTAAACCAAGAAAACTTTAATAATGATGATGATGATGAAAAGGTGTTGCAGTGGAGGAGGGCAGGGGAAAGAAAACTCCTGGCACTCATTCTTTCTTGCTACAGAACTAAAAGATTTCTCTGCTTTTCTCCTCCTTTTTCTCTTGGCTGGTGTGTTCAGCGGTCACCCTCAGGGGAAACAGGTCCCCTCCTTAGAGGAAATGGACTGATCAGAACCAGTCTGTGACATCAGCTCAGAATCCCAACCTCACTTGGCAGTTGATTCCCAGCCTTGGCTCAACAGCCCTTGGGTTGGAAAAACTGGTGCCTGGATTTATTTTAAAAATCACGACAATATTAGACAGCGAGAAAGCGGGAGTGACAACCAGCAATGTCTGTAGATTAATGGCTGGGGAAATGGCGAGAGGACCAACAGGCAGCCCCCGGAGGAGGAAGGCGAAAGCAAGAAGGAGACCCCAAGACCACGTTGTACAGATCTACTAAGTCCTGAATGGCTGCAGGAAGAGGAAGAAGAAGAGGGGTCTCTACAAGAGCTGTCATGTGACAAAGACCCATGAGAGCAGAAGCTGCCAAGCAGGCTGGGAAGCGCTGGGACTGCACAGTCATTTGGGCCTAGTCAAGTTCTCCAGGCCCAACTGCCGAGTCGCTCTGACATGTGACTCATTCTCCTTATAAGTAGCAGCCATTTTCCCTCTGTGTTCTCAGTCTGCCTCAGTTGTGAGCTCATTAAAGCTCTTATTCTTTACGCTGCACGTCAAGAGCAGCCTGGCACCATCCCAGGTGATAATAGCAGCCAAGGGCCGCCCCACAATAATTCACCTGCGGAGGGGCTGTGGCCCCCGTCTGGCGACAACAAAGAACACCCGGAGCCCAGAGTGAATGAGGGCCTCCCTTCTGACGCTACCGAGCCAGAGCGCCCGGAAAGTGCCGCAGCAGATCACACGGCTTACTACCTGGGCGATGACCATGAGGAGGAAGCACCCCTGGGTGGCTCAGGCCTTTCCACGGGCTACTTCCCCTGCAATGGGACCGATGAGGAGCCCCCCCGCTACCAGCCCCCCGGGTGCCCGGAGGACAGAGAGAGTGGGGACCCCCGACCAGGCAGGAAGAGGATCCCCCCCACAAAGGGGCAGGGACCCCACCACAGGCGTCCGTCGGCTCTCATGTGGGCCGGAAGTGGCCCCAAAAGAGGGGAAATCAAGGGGGCTTGGAGAAGGAGAAGGCCGCAGGAGGGGAGCTGAAGTCCCAGCTGCAGAACCACAACCAGCCCACTCTGCCCAGCCGAGGGAAGAAGGCCATCCCCGTTTGTGACACTGACAGCATGGAGGCTGCTGGGGATGCCAGGAGAAGTACCCCGCCTGGGGACCCCCCAGCAGCCCTCCAAGCATGGAAGTGCAAAAAAGAAAAAGAAAAAACACCTTCAATGGGCAGATGAACAAGACCAGAGCTCTCTGCCCCACGACCCAGGAGGCGAAGCAGCTGCAGGAAAAGGAAGAGGACATGGGGTCTCCACAAGAGCAGCCTGGCATCATCCCAGAATAGCAGCCAAGGGCCACCCCACAATAATTCACTTGCAGATGCTGCGAAGGGGCTTTGGCCCTCATCTGGCAACAAGAAAGAAGACCTGGAGCCCAGAGTGAATGAGGCCAGTGTGAAAAAGAATATTCAGAAGACCCCCTTGTGCCTTGGCCTCCGTTCCCTCGTCTCCTGTGTCTGGAAGGTCTTCAAAAAAGCGCCACCACCTGAACCCAGCACCAGCGGGGTGCAAACAGAGAGGAGACTGCTCGGCATGCGGCTGAGGATTCCCCAACACAGCAGCTGCGTGCACTCAGAGGCACTTTGAGGATGAGGAAATGCTTCTACTCCCCCTGCCACTAGCCCTCTGGGTGCCCCCAGGACAGGGATGGTGGGTGCCGGCCGGCAGAGCTGGGAGTGATCCGGGGCGCTCGCAGCTGGCCACCTCTCCATGGACTGGGCAAGGCGAAGCAGGCGGGCGCCGGGGGGAGGGGCCAGCCACTCCCCTCCCCAGAGTGGCACCTTTGGTGCAGGTTGGCACTGCAGCGCTTCCTCCCCCCCCCACCCCCGCGGCCCATTCTCTTGCATTCCCTGCTGTTGTACCACCTGACCTTACTACACCACTGGGAGTGAGGGCTTAGGGATGCTGATACGAAGTCAGCTGTGATTTGGGGCAGCAGTGGGGAGCGTAGGAGGGTGGGCTGCTGGGGGGGGAGAGGGAGGGGGCCCTGCAGTGCCAGTCCGCACTGGGGTGTTGTTTTGGGGAGGATGCGGGACCTCCAGGGGACGGGCTGTGCTTCCCACCAGGCGCTTCCCACCCCCATGATGGCGCGTGGGGCGGCCCGCGCCCACCTTGCTCTGCCCCTTACTCCACCTTGGTGTACACTGCCTGCCAAACAATAACACAAACCAAGTGTCATCAAACGAATTATCAGGGATTTGCCTCTCCGCTTACCTACTGTTTAATCCCTCGTCTGACGTCTCGTTTTCATTGTTCTGTATGGAAATTAAAAGGTATAAATGTAAGAATCTTCTTTTGTTCTGGGTTCTCCTCCGTCGCCTGTTTGTTACGTGAGTGGGGACCCTGTTGCCAACAGTCTTTGTTTTGTAATAAAGTTCAGGCTTATAGCCGCTTTACTTTTCATAAAAATAATAATAAATGCATTTAAAAAAGAAAATCATATATAGTAAAAGGTTATTATATTTCAATTAAACCATCCATGTCACATGTGCAGTCCAAAGTGTGCACTCTTTTGGTCAGCTTTTCAACTGAAGCAATTGTCCATGCATTCTGTTGCCATTGTGTGATGTGTAGGCGTCACTTTCCAATTCTGCACTGAGTAGTTGTGCCACCAAAAGAAAAGTAATGGTTCCTTACTAGTAGGTTAAGTTCAAATAAATATGTGAAATTCAGGCCCTAGCAAAGTCCTCTTGGCACTGTGATCCCATCCTCTGCATTCTTATTTCTGTTTCCTGTGCACCAAGATTTCCTGGAGTCCAGTTTCCTTTCCCTTTGCTTATCTTCGCCCTTAATGCTACCCTGCCTCTTTTAACCACATTGGTTGTTTTCTCTGACAGCTTCTTCCTCAGCCTGCCCTCAAGCCGGAATTTCATCATTTAGGCCTTATCCAGACTTCCTTTTGTGCCATGTTTTCCAGGCACAGGTCCATGCTTTAAAAGCTGTTTCTGAGCAGGGTTTTGTTTTTGTTTTGGTTCCAGTACTTTCTCCCAGAAAACCCACATTTTACTTTGAACAAACAGCAATTAATTTGAACAAACAGCAATCTGCAGAAAACTTGCTTAGAGTCCTTTAAAGCCCAGACCTATACCTAGAAACACAGCACAAAAGGAAGTCTTGAATTGGCTCTCAAAGCTGTTCGATGTATTAAGCCTAGTCAAATGCTAAACTAACAAGTTCTGTTGTTGGTGCTCCCCTGAGCTTGGTAATTGTTTGGGAACATTTTGTGACACAGCACTAGCCTAGAAAATTGGGATCACCACAAGCAGAAAACAGATTTGCTATAGGACTTCACATGGTCAAAGTTTTAAAGCAATTTTTAATCTTTAGTTCTCTTCACTCATTACTGATGTGTAGAGGACAAGCAGTGAAAGGGACTGCAGGGCTGTATATTTAGCCCCATCCCAAAGTTTTGCTGCTCCTTTTCTCGCTGCTGTTGGTGTACTGGACAGAACTGCTGCAGTGGAGAGACTTTCTCCCCCCATAGTCCACAACTCTAGTTGATCACTTTCACCACACTATATTTTCCATGTGTAAAGTGTAAAGAGAGCTATAGGCAGGTCTGTTTCTGGTACACCAAATTTCAAGTTAATGAAGAACTGGAGAACTAAGTACCGAGAACACCAGAGCACAATTGCATTGATGAGTTTTATTCATATTTACAATATTGTTAATGAACAACAAAATGATTCTAGTTTATCCATAATATAAATTGTTTTAAAAAAGTCATTTAGTGTCAAATTTCAAATTCTTCATTTAAAATTTAAAACGTGTTAAAAATCTGGATAATTTGGCAAGGGCTGAACTTTTTAAGCTGTAAATCTTCAATATTACTATTGAGGATCTGGACTGTATATAACTTCTAATCTGGCCATCTTTGCAGTGAGCAACTGGAGGAAGAGAAGGAGAAAATAGAAAGACAACCACAGTTCTGAAATGTCTGGGTAATATCTAAAGTCAGTCATAGAGCAGAGCCACCTTGGTATTAATAGGTCTCTGTGACTAACACTGTATCACCACTGGAAAAAACGTTCCTCCTATACGGTCATAGTGGCACACTAAATAAAAAACTTTTAAATGATTGACAGCATGATAAACAGCTGGTTAGCATTTTTAAAAATATAAATAAGGTATCTTAAATACGTAATTTGAGATTGCTTCTTCAGATCTATTGTACACACCTAAAATACCGTATGAGATGGTCCAAATACCATGATATATAAACCCGAGTAATATTTACAAATATGCACGAGCATTATTATTTAGCAATCTTCATACAAAATAAAAAGGGCAAATAGAAATGCATGCTATTTGACAAAACTACATAAATTATTTACACAGTATAAAAAGCACAAAATAAATACAATATATGCAAGATTAATTATTGGCATTTGTCGGTTCTGGAGACTGAAGAAATTCATAGGGGTCATGGACCATATCTTGTTGTTCTCCTACACTTAAGTGAGAAGGGCTTCCTGTGGAAAACAAGGAGAGGGCCAGAAAGGATAAATTAACAAGTTTGAACAGTTCCATACACTCAGGAAATATATTCACAGTCCAATTTTATGCAAGTTAACAGAGTTCAGTTAAATAGGTAAATGATTATAGTTGGTGGTTTTTAATCATGTTCTCCATCAATGATTTTAGAAACGTCAACTTTTCATTACATTTGTGGCAAAACCCCGCACCCGGCCTATCTACTTAGTCCCTTCTATTAGAAGTGTGATTGATGTTGGGTATGAGCAGACACTTCCTGCGGTGGCCCTGAGACTTGGAACGAAAACATGTGTGAATTTCACGTTCTCATAACATGAAATCCATCTTTGTAAAATTGCTTTGGGGCTGTTTTATACTGCAAATAGTTTTTACTTAGGTTTTTGCGGCTGTTTAATTTCTAATAGTCATTGAAAGGTCAAATGTATTCAAACAGAGGATTTTAAATAGAAATAAATCACAGCAATGGCCCTATCTATCAACCTATTTGTATTTGCATCCTGCCCTCCCAAGGACCTTATGGGGCAATCTCATCACCACTGTAATTATGTGATTGTGAATACTGTCAATGCAGTCAGTATCTTGGGCATCTCACAAACTATTCCATTTTAAGTGGGACTGAGAAGGCTCAGGAGCTCATGTTGTTCAACCAGATTTACCTAGGTGGTGTTGATCCCTTTCAGAAGCATTGGAGAGGGAGCTGAGGTTGGAGGACGGTCTGGATCCTACTCTGTCAGCCTGAGCCTCATGAAGGTCCTGCAGTAATTTGGTGGTTTCATCCAAGTGTAAATGATTGTCCTCATGATCAAGCTCCTTCTTTACTTTACCTGAGAACAACAACACATCATCTGTGGCAAAACCATGTTAGACTAGGCCTAGGAAAAAAATTGATTAGTGGACAAAACTACATCATACTCTACTGAATCATACTTTCAACACTGAACTACTCTAAGAACATGCTTACCCAATGAACTCAACATGGATATATCAAGGGACACGTCTGAATATGGCTTCATAGACAAAAAATCCAAAACAGAACTAGTATTGTCTCCAATGGCTTCCCCAACCTGAAAAAAAGAGAAAAATGACAGCTACACAATGTGAGTAACTGTTAAATATGGCTGCTACAGACATGACTCCCCTCTCCAGTAGAAGCACATTATCAAGCAAGGCTAAGTGCACCCTTCATGACTTTCACTGGGAAGTCAAATGGACAAACACTGGTGACCATGTTGAAAACGTGTACTGCATGGAGGAGAAAATGTTTTGCGTCTAATCCTGGCAGCATTCCAAAAAGGATTCACTGCTATCACCCAATACCATTGTTTACTGGTTTAAGAAGGAATTCCTAGGATTATCCTCACATCAAAGAGGAGGTTGTGGAACTGGGAAAGGTTCAGAAAAGGACAACTAAAATGATGAAGGGGATGGAACGTCTCATCTATGATGAACTGTTACAACATTGGGGGCTTTTTAGTTTAGATAAAGAGAGCAGAAAGTGTTTCTTCCTCTCTCATGACACTAGAGTATGTTAACATCCAAGGAAGCTGAATACTGAAAGATTCAAGACAGGCAAAAGAAAGTGCTCAGACAGTGCATAGTTAAACTACGGGGTTTACTCCCACAAGACGTAGTGATGGCCACCATCTTGGATGGCTTTGAAAGAGGATTAGACAAGAGGATGCAAAGAAGTCTGCTTCTGAATGCTGATGGCTGGGAATCACAGGTGGAGAGAGTGGTGGTTGTGCTCAGTCCTGTTTGTGAGCTCTCCCTAAGCATCTGGCTGGCCTGATCCAGCAGGCTGCATTCCCATCACAGGAAACCATTCACTGTGACTCTCTGAACCACACCTGCTTTACTCCTTCCTACAAAGGGCTAGGAGGAAACCAACTATGATCCCTGGCCTTAGCGTTAGATCTGAACGAGGGATCGTGCTTTGTTTTGCTCAAACAAAGCATAATTGGAAACCCAAGAATGAACCTCGGCTTACCATGGTGGTTTGCTTGAAGCAAAACTAACCACAATTCATAAAGGCCAACATTCTAGAGTTCAAGGCTGCATTTCCTCATGACGAACTCAAATGCCAAAAGTGTGCAAGCCCAAAAAGCAGGTGAGGTTATATTTTTGCCACTTAGCTTAATTTAGTAGGCACCTGTGTATTCTGGATGTTACCTGCCACCCCTATCCTCCAGTTAGCAGTCATCATAATGAATGAAAATTAATATTGTGATAAAGATCAAATAAGTTAATAAACAGAGCACCCTCTCCCAACATGATTTACTAATGCCTTTTTTGCATGGTTTGTAATACGATAAACTGAAATAAACAATTACTTAATTGTGACAGCAACAACCACGTCAAGTGGCTTTTTAAAGATCACCCACAAACTGATGCAAAGATCTAACAATGCTCTCCAAGATTTGGATGTCAACATTTCAGGCTGTTCAGCTGCATAGTAACTTACAGGAGCAATAAGGGGAGAGGCAGGAGAAGTATGGCTCTGATCAAACGCAAGCCCTTACGGTGTTACCATAGTTTTCCAATGAAACCTTAAATCTGCCCAAAGGAGCAAGGGCGCAGCAGGACAGAGGCAGAAGTTGCAGCAGACAGGGACAACACCACGGATGTGGCTGCAGCCGGCCCTCCACCTTCGTCTGATCAACTTCTCCAACCACGTATCCCTGCAGATTCCACACTGCCAAATTTGGTACAGCCATAAAAAAGCTGGGGGAGGGGCAGGGGCTGGATTAGGCCTGTGGTCTGGTGGTTCACTAGGCCATTTACAGACTAAACAAGAAATCTTACCATACTCTGTTTGGAGGCATCTGGGCAAGTATTGCGCAATTTGTGTTCTTCTTTTATGAGGACTGGCGGAACCTTAAACATCAAAGCACATTCAGATTGTTGGTAATTTACAATCTGTATTCATTTTCCATTTGACATCTTTTATTTTACACCGCCAATGAAGTAACAAGAGGAAAATGTAAGCTTTCAATATGGATTATTTTTTCCTTTGGTACTTAAAAACAAATAAATACAAAATGAAAGGAAAGAGAAAATAGTACAGAAAACCCAATTTAAACAAATCTTGAGGTTTCTGAAATATCTAAATTATAGTGATTCTATGATTTATGGAACACACTGATTGCAATTCTTATTTCTGTATTTACTGTAGAATTAGAGAATTGTAATGCACTCAGTCTAATCTCATGCAACACAGGAATATCAACTAAAGCATATTTCAATCATATTCCCAGGGCGGTTTCCAAGAAAAAGCACACTATTACATATGAACATGAAGGCTGGTTAAAAATAAAATGTAATAGGACTTACTTTGACTTCATCTGGTGGCTTCACTGGAATGTTTCTCCTCTGAAAACCAGAACATTAAAATTGTTCAATTTTCCTGTTTCTTTTTTTGAGTAAAGCACACTAATGGTTTTATGTGACCAAGCAGTGAGCTGGTGCATGATGCTCAAAAGTTCCCATGACTCTTCTACACCAATCTTCTTGCCACAATGTGGACAAAACAAGCCAGAGTCTGCCTTGCTTTGCTGCCTGCACCCAGGTTTGTTTTATTCAAACCAACCACGAGAACTGAAGAACAAACCTTGGTTACTGCTGGCGGGTTTTTCCGCATGAAATAAACCATGAGCCTTGGGGTTTGGTCAACCCAACAAACCAGATTCTGGCTTGTTTTGTCTGTGATGTCGAAGACGCAAGGAAGAAGTGGCATGGGAACATCTGAGCTGTGTACACCAGCACGTTAAACAGTGGTTTAATGCAATGTGCAAACCAGGCCAATGAGAGAGACATCTGCAGAATAAACAGTGTTTTCATTGAATCAGTCATAATTTGGATTTACTTTCAAACTAGAAATATGGGACAGTGAAGAAAGAAGATAGGGACAAAACCTTGCTTCTTTTGAGTGTGGACTAATACAGACCAACTTTTTTTTTTCTTAAACACAACAAGCTTTGAGGATCTTCAAACAAAACAGAGAGCAATGTTATTGTTCTTTAGTTTATTTGAAGTGTTTATACCCCTCCTTTCCAGCGATCAGTGTCCATCAGGAAGCAGTTATGGGTGAGATCCAGTGTCATGCCAGCATATGCAAGGGAAATTCTGTTTCCGCTACTTCCCAACCCCCCAATCTGCTCTGGATGGTTCCCCAACCATGGCGGGAAGTGTTTTGGGACTGTCTGGCAGAGACAGTGCTTGTAGGCTCTGCTGGGCTCAGGAGTTTTCCACCAGCCAGAGCCCCTCTCATACACTGCCAAGCAGTGTTTGGATGCATTTTTTTATGCCGATGGGGACTGCTCCCGGCACAAAATGGCAGAGTTTCATTTTTTAGGTTGCTCTGCGACTCATTCTGCTCCATTATGAGCTTGTTGAATTAAGGTGCTGGAACTTGCATCAGATCAAGAAGAATGCAGTAGGCTAAGTCAGCAAGGTGAAGAAGTAATTTTTAATAAATAATTTCAAACACTTTTTGCTGATGTTCACCATATGGTTTCTATTATCCCATGAGCCTCTGAGAAACAGAGAGACACAAAGAAAAAAAAAGGGGAAACTGGAATGGACATGTGAGAACTAGACCAAATCCATGGGAGTGAAGGACTGCTCTAAGCTCAGCACCAACTGAAAAGACAGGATGATCCCATTATTAAAGCTAAGCAACAAAACCAATATGCAAGTCACATTTGGTTGTGATGCCTTGGTTACTGTAGAAAAGGTATGTATCACTGTTAGCCAGGAATTAAGAAAGGCATTCTGAACAGGGAGAGGTCTGCTGAACCTTTGGAGTTTGTAGACAATATATATGGTTGCAATGTTTTTACCAATTAAAGGTCTTCCACGTGACTGAAAAAATGTGCTTCATTAAATGCAACTCTGTTTTATGATGAGATATTCCTCTTTTCCATGGGTAGGCAAACTAAGGCCCGGGGGCCAGGTCTACTATGAGCAGGACCAATGTTGAAGACAACCCTGAATTTAGGATTTACCGTATTTTTCCATGTATAAGACACTCCCAACCTTATTTTTTGAACCCAAAATTAAGGAAACAATACCCTAAAATAGAAATGAAAATATGGATGATCTGCGGTGGCAAGTTTATCATGATTTGGGCAATCGCCTTCAAAGTTTCCAGCATGGTGCAGAAGCAAAGGCAGCGACTGGGCACCGCATGCTCCCCCTCAGTGGCAGCACCCACTCTGTGCTGGGCCATGCTGTCGAGCAAACTGAGCTGAGGAAGGTGGTGAGTGGGCTGGAGGCAGGGTGAGAGTTTGAGAGGGGAAGAGGGGGAAAAAAGGAAAGAAGGGCAAGGAGAGGGAGCTGAGGCAGCTCTCAACACCAGTGGTAGTTGCTCTTGCACCGGTGGTCGAGCCAGCGGGGGCTTCAGGAGGCGAGCCAGTTGCCAGCATGCAGCCGAGGGGGGGGGAGAAAGGGGGGATGACAGCAGGAGCCCGCCCAAGCCAAAATCCTGCAGATATGCCCAAATATTTAAAAAATCCCCCTGGACATCAATGTTCCATGTACAAGACGACCCCCAATTTTTTTTACTTCTTTTTTCTTTAAGCAAAAAACCTCATCTTATACACCAAAAAATATGGTACTTCTGAGTAGCTCGATTGAGAAAGCATGCTTCTCTCACCCCCGCAAAGGATTAGTTTTACAAACATGTAATATTAAAGGTAAAAGTACCCCTGCCCATACGGGCCAGTCTTGACAGACTCTAGGGTTGTGCACCCATCTCACTCAAGAGGCCGGGGGCCAGCGCTGTCCGGAGACACTTCCGGGTCACGTGGCCAGCGTGACATCGCTGCTCTGGCAAGCCAGAGCCACACACGGAAACGCTGTTTACCTTCCCACTAGTAAGCGGTCCCTATTTATCTACTTGCACCCGGGGGTGCTTTCGAACTGCTAGGTTGGCAGGCGCTGGGACCGAGCAGCGGGAGCGCACCCCGCCGCGGGGATTCGAACCACCGACCTTTCGATCGGCAAGCCCTAGGCGCTGAGGCTTTTACCCACAGCGCCACCCCGTCCCTACCAACATGTAATATTATGCAACTTTAATTCTGATTGAAACATACATGTGCAGTTTTCTCATGAGAAAAGGTGTGCAGACAATCTCTTTTGCACACCTTTGTCACCCTGAGCCTCTCTGACTATGTTAGATCTGAAAGGGATTGTTTGTCAAGACAAGGATTTGTGTAAGGTGTTCAAACAGTGTAGCCATATTCATGAGTTCCAGAAAAGGCTTTATGGGTTTCAGGTGCTGCCACTGACCAATTCTACTGTACATAATTTGAAGAATTTAATAAAAATACTTTGAAGGGGAAACTACTGATCCCACACTAACTGTGTTAATTGCATCTCTGCATAATGCAGACCTACCTGCTTTTGCTGATAAATAATTTTGGAATGATCTCCACCAGTGATTTGATCCAGCAAGTCATCCACTATTTTTTTGCAGTAAATTCCAGAATCCTTCACAAATTCCTGCAAACTAGAAGATTTATGACATAAGTCGTGACAATTCAGTCGGCTGCATATATATTTGTAAATTAAACATAAGCACTGCAAAAAGCAAAACACATTTTGGTTTTGAAAAGCTGTCTTCCGTGGTTCTTCAAAAAAGTTGTCACCTTGATGGAATTTGAAGCTACAAATTTTTGTATGCCATTTATTCCCGCTTCCACGTGAACTATTGTTCTTCTTTGTATACCATAATCTTAAGCTTCTGTGCTGGTGTGGTGGTCTGTTGCACCAAGATGGAAGGAGAGTATGATATGAATGATAGACAAAAGTAAACAAGCAATTAATATAATTATATAAGAGTTCAATGTGCACGACAACTTCTTTACCTTAGGGCACACTGGATCCCAGTTTCATCTCCATATGCTGAATACAGCAGTTCCATTTCATCTGCTTTCAGATCATGAAAGATAGAATGGTGCTGCATCGAAAGTGCTGTATTAGCACTTGAAAGGAACGTGACTGGAAATATAAGAAAAATGTGTTTGAAATCCTCTTCTCAACCTCGTCCCCTCCCAAACCCAACTGCATTTCTTAGGATTTGTTTACAGATCCATGTACATCTCTTGATAATGCACATGTGAATCAGCTATCAGACACCACAAACAGAATTGTAATAATCACCCAGCTTTGACAATAATATATTGGCGTATTAAATTGAGATACAAACGAACTTATTTGCTTGTCTTCACTCTTCCCTTTGCAGTGTGAGGAGGCAAACCAGGAAGCCGCTAAATTAACCATGGTTTTCTATTAAGCCTCAACTGGAAAACTATGGTTTCCAGCTTCAGAACAAGCCAAGATCTTAGGGGGAAAAAGTGGTTTAATATTCTCCTGGTTCAGAGAAAACAAGGAACTACATTTAATTAGAGACTTCTGGTTAAACCGAAGTATGAGTGTCCAAACATGGCCAATTACTTCTCCCAACATGATTTTTTTTTTACTTGTTTGGTTTAGATATACAGTCAACTAATCAAGTTCTGAAAACAACTAGTTAACTGAAATCACCTTCTTAATACTATTCGGTTCTGAATGAATGGTTTAATATGAGGACAAATGTTTAATCCTGAAGACACGATATTTAGTTGCCTTAACTACCTTTGTGCCTTCTTTCATCTTTGAAGCCCAGGGCTGTGAAACCAGGTAATAACTTGCTTGACAAAGAACTCAGATCCACTGGATGGGTTTCCTCCTCTGTATCAAAAGGAAATGTGCATTACATTTCTTTATGTAACTAATTTCGATCTTGCTTTTTAGGACAATATGTTCAAAAGGCAATGAAAAACACAAAATAATAATTATAATTAAGATAACAATCCATTTTATTATATGAGACATGCCCATGGTTGCCACAAAGACCAAGGCATCATGAACCACATAGTTGATTTGGCATGGATCTTAAAGTCCCTTCAACACATTTTACAAACCTCTAAAATCAACATCAGGAACACATATAGATAATATTCCTGAGTATGGATTTTTTTTATCACACTCAGCATTTATTATGTATTTTAGTCCATACTCTGTATAAGCAGACAAACACAAGTCAAGTTCCTCATTGATGTGCATTTTTTTCTTCAACTGAGTAATAGTAAGGCGTGAGATGGCGTCATTCCACTACAATACATGCAGCCCTCTGGACTTTATTGCAATTTCAGCCTCTAGTTTATTTGGTCGTGGAGCAGGGACCAGCAAACAGGGAGAGGCAAAGAGGAATACAGATCTTTTTCAACACCACTGCCCAGACCATTGCGTCTTTTTCCTTCTGTCCAAGAATGTCTTACAGCCCACACTGTTGTATCACAGACTAGCAATTCATGTTTTAATTACTGTATTTTCGCCCTTTGGGCGCACCGGCCCATAGGGCGCAGCTAGTTTTTTTTTTGGGGGGGGGGAATAAAGAAAAAAAAATTCCCCCCAGGCGCAGGGCTGGGGAAGCCCAAGCTTCCCCCGACCCCAGAACAGGCTGCTGTCCGCAAGCCATGGGAGCCCGGCGGGAAGTCGCACTGGGCTCCCAAGGCTTGCGGATATCTGCCCGAAGCCCGGGGTGCGCTCCACTGTGCTCCCCCCGGTTTCGGGCTGCAGGCTGCTGTCCGCAAGCCTCTCGCTCTCCAGACTTCAGCGAAAGCCTGCATTTGCCCCATAGGACGCACACACATTTCCCCTTCATTTTTGGAGGGGGAAAAGTGCGTCCTATAGGGCGAAAAATACGGTAAGCTGATGAAGATCAGGTCAAAAAAGTAGAAGATGCATTTATGCTAATTCAAATAAGAGTTTAGAGGAACATCACAGGTATCTAGTCAACAATAAGTTTCCTTAGTCTTTTTTTAGACACTACTGACAAATGAAGCTTCATTTTGAAGCTATTTGTAGTATTAGCCATAAACCTTCAACCGTGTCTGTATTAGACATCCATTTTAGCTTAGGATGAGTTGCAAAGTGTATTTCAGAATAGAAATCTTACTGTACTGTTGCAAACATTTCCATGCATATCATTACTGCTTCTTATCTGTTTGGGTTGTTCAATCTAAGATGAAAGCACTTCAGAGCAAATTTAAAAAGAGAATCTAGCCATGCAGCAATAAAAGCATACCTACAACTTTAAACAAAGCTTGCAAAAGTTAGCACACAATTACCTTCTGCTTCTGGATCTGATGGATTGAGTACGCTGAAGACCAAAGACCCATCACCATTCTTTTTCAGGTAGCCTATCTGTACTTAAAAAATATGGCAGAAATAGAAATTATTTTTACGTTCACCAATCAAAAGGAAGCAGCTATCCAGATTTTAAAACGTCAGATCGTAACAGTTTGTCTGCGCTGCTGAGATCTACAACATTAGCACTGCCTCTTTTGATAGCATGTTCCAGAGCTTTGGTGACAACTGAACCTTATTTCCTTAACGCCTTTATTCTCTACTTTATTCACCTATGGTTGCTGTGCAGAGCCTAGGCACAGCTGTGGTGCTTAAGACAGAGTACAGACTCCCCCTGGGCCACTCAACACTCACATGCTGGATGTGTTCCTGGAATGGGAGTTTACAGGTGCATAATCCAGTATGAACAAGCACCTTTGAAAAAGCTGCATCATCTTTAGCCTGTTTTCATAAGTGTGTTCAGAGCATTAGTGCTTTTAATATAAACACCTGAATTGTTTAATATGCTAGATTTGATTCATCAGAAGGCTACAATCTTTTATTTTTATCTTCCCATAGTGCCATAATGGAGAACCTTATCAACTTTTGGTTGCCCCAATCTGGAGTATTACATGAAGCTATTTAGTGCATGATTACTTTTATATTGTCCTTTTCTTCCAAGAAGCTCAAGGTCCATACTTCCCCATCACTTATTTTATCTTCACAATGATCTCATGAGGTAGGCTAAGATGAGAGATTGTGAGAGGCCCATTGATGAAGCTCTGAACCCTCACCTCCCAGGTCCTATCCTGACAGCACTCTGGATCCATTACTGGTAGTTTAAATAACTAATATTATTAACTTATTACCATTATTAACTTATTAAAAGCTCGGGGGGGGGGGGTTCACCAAGGCAGATACTGAGGAACAAATCCTAGGTGACACTTCATTTGTGTCATATTGAAAGTGGGGACTGGAAACTGTGCTCTGGAAATTTAACAGCCATAAAGCAATCACATGTGAAACTTAATTATTAAATTTATATACCGCCCTTCATCCGAGGATCACAGTGTAAAAACACAAAACACAGTTTAAAAGGCCAGAGATGGTTTAATCAGCCAAAGGCCTAGGTGAAGAGGAATGTTTTCACTTGGTGCCTAAAGAAATGTAATGATGGCGCCAGGTGAGCCTTCCACATATGGGGAGTCACTGACTGCAGAAAAGGTCCGTCCCCATGTTGCCACGCTCCAGACCTCTCATGGAGGCAGGCAGGCATAGGAAGAGTGCCAGGTCTGGGTCACTTCACACGGGAAGAGGCGGTCCTTGAAATACAATTAATGTATCAGATGCCACCCAAAAAATGCTTATTCAATCTGATGAGGACATTGTTTCTGGCAATGTTAAGCAGAACGAAATAATGGAAACTTGGATCAAGCGGCACGACCTTGCTGTTTGGGAGACATCGACTGATCCGGTCCCGAGCTTCATCTGCAGCATGTTCCACCAAAGCCAGAACGTGCTCTTCAGCAGTGCTGTCGGTCAGGCTGCATGCATTGCCTTCTGGTTCAAATATGCAGCTACAAACAAGTTACAAGTTGTGCAATAAATATGAAATCATGTCTAATTTTCTCCAAGTAATTTCTAGGCAACAGATTATGACTGTGAACTAACTGTGGCCATTCTCCAGGGTTAATCAGAACTTTCTTATTATTATGTGTATTAGACACAGGCTCCGCTTACCAAATACAATGTGTTCCCTAGAAATCATTTGTTAGGTGAGGGGTTTGCATAACAAGTTCAGTTTCCACTGATTCCTGTGGTAAAATTTCTAATGCATGATCTCTCTCCCTGCTCCCATAATGGTTTCTTCCATGGTTTCTTTTGCAGCCAACCAAGAGAGACATAAAGGAGAAACTGATTTGTCCAATCTCTCCCCACACTCCATGGTTTCTGCCCCAAAATGCCTGCCACAATAAACAAACAAGTACAGAAGGGGGCAAACTCTGGCTGTTCAGATGCCTGAATCAGCTGTGCATGTGTAGTTCTTTGTGTTCTGATATGTGAATTTGTAAATAGCAAGTAGGCTGAAAGCGAGACATGTGTGTACCATGTCATTTATGTACACTTTTTATAGGCATGCAAGGGATTATACAATGTACACTATTAGCCAGTGCACAGCTTTTTGTTTTAGCTTAAGAACCTAAGAATTGCATTGCTGAACCAAAAGCTCCAACTAGTCTAACTTTCAGTTTCCAACAAGGAACAGCCTGATGTCCCTGGGAAAACAAGCACAGGATAAAGGAGGTGTCCGTATCTTAGTCCTAATTCTCTAAAAAGCAGGTCTCACTTCTGCCTACGAGCCAAGAGGAATTTGAGTCTGGATCCCATTACATCCTAATGAGAATTATGTCTCATTTAGCAGATTTGCTGTGGCATAAACTGCCCACACTGTCAGATACCTTGTATATACTCCCCAGCCACCCGCCTTTCGTGCTTTTGTCTTAAGGGGTGATTGGAGATACGCATTTCTCCCAACTGCAAGGTCAATAAAAATCAGTTGTGTTGTTTACAAAAATCATTTTTCCTTCAGCCTTCAGTTAGAAAAATAATTTTGTTTAAGGTGTAAGTAATCTGACTTCAAATACAAGTTAATATGCTTAAATGAATATAGTACTTCAGCTTTTAAAACAGAATCCATGACCATCTTATCAAACATCAACTCAAAGAAAGATTTTCTATGTAAAAGAACCATGGGGGAAGATATCTGTCTTATGTTGGCAAGCATTAAAAATATGGTGCAATAGATGACATATTCATTGTGCTGTTCCCTATATAGGCAAATATTGTATTTGTATCTATTATTTCCCTACTACTACTGGACACAAGTTCAGCAATTTAAAGTCTTGATAGCTTCAGAGAGGAAGAGAGAAAGGGAGTGAAGTCCATGCTTTATTCTCCTATATAAACCATAGACATGCTTAACTTTGGCTTGTGCTGGGAGTGGGAAGGGAATGGTTCCAGAGCATGAAGATGGTCATTTAAAAATATTGCTCTGATGGGCCAGAAAACTTCACCCACTTTGAGCTGCAGAAGGAAAGCAGTGGGCTGCAAAATATGCCTTGTAGGGCAATCATCAGTCCCCATAACACAAAAAATAGGATCTTACCCCCTTTTATAAGCCCAGGGAGTGCAGTAAAGAGGAGGCCACTGCTGGCTTCGGGGGAAATGGCACCACTGCCTCCCACAGCAGTCAGGTCAGCAGCAGCTACAAGACAGCCTGAGGGCAAGTTCAAGCTCAGGGAAGAATCTGCAATGTAGCCAGCATCACTGTGCACTCAGAAACATTATGGGAATTAATGGTGCTCTTTAATGGAGGGGCAACTGGAGGGTATTGGGATCTGAGAAGACAACATCACAGAAATGGCCTCTGCTGTGTTAAGGCTGAGGCAGGGCACAATGAAATTATTAAGTGCCTCAAAAGGAAAAAAAATGAGCACGTCTACTATCTTTATTGTACTTTTTGCACTGTTCTACAATCCTTAAAGAAGTGCAACTTTTACTGCAACTTGTACGGTTGCCTTACAAATGAAAATCAAAACATGTCTTGTTTGGGTCACAGTAAAACGCCAGAGAAGTGAACTAAGATTCATCAACAGTTTGGGATTGGTTTATCCAAAACTAATTTGATACTCAAATACCTCAACAGCTGCCTGACATACCTCTTTCTCTCTCTCTCTTACACACACACACACACACACACACACACACAACCTGCAACACCTTGGAAAATGTGTGGCTGCAATGGGGGAAAATATCTGTGACTGCCCAAGTACGCTGAAATCTCAGGAAACTCAAGTCTGCTTCATATCAGCACAATTCCAATTTGTAATTAAGAAGCACAAAAGAGCAAAGAATTTCATCTGTATCATTACCTAATAACTTCTTTACTTGGCTTTTTGGATTTCTTGGTAGTCTCTACGTGAACAGGAACAACTTCGGGCACAGGTTCCTCAACAGCTGGGTCTTCGTCGCCCAAAAGAGCTGCCTGCTGAGAAAAATCCATGTCCTGCATAAACGACATGCTGCGCTTCAAAGCTAACAGCCGTTCCTAGAATTAGAAAGGACAGAGCAGCAGGGACTTTACACCTTTCCCTCATAGCCAAGGTGCTATGATGATGGGATGGGATGGGAATGGCCATGGCTTTGTGCCTAAGAGCTACACCTTCAATGATGATGCAACATGATTCAGTCATGGCAGCACGACACCAGAATATCTGCAACCTAGGAAAGAAAGACCATCACCTACCTGAAAAGTGGAACTGACCACAATCTTCCTGCAGAACAGGCTAGAAGCAGTAGCTCATATGATAAATCAGTTGTTTGACTGCTTTTAATATGGTACTAGTACACCTTAATGTAAAGTATACATAAATCCATCTCCTACCTTAAGTATTTCCCTTTTAATGTGTTTCTTTCTAAAAATTTAGGTGAGGAGTGAGGGGAGGGCCTGTTTTCTGCTAAGAAGGGGACTAAGAGGATTTATGAATTGTATTTCATAACCATAAAACATTTCAACAATGTTTTAAAGGAAAGCATGTTTCTATACATCACCTTGCTGTTTAACATGCTTGGCTTTCCAAAAGAAGATTCAGAATTTATTTATTTCTCACTTGTCAAACAACTTAAGCAAGTCCAATGAACTTAAAAGGTAATATGGAAAAATTTGCTTCCATGCTGGAAGCTTCTGTTCAAAGTCTCCAACCTGAATCCAAATCTTACCAGTGTTATCTACCGTAAAAGGTGAGTGATTTAAAATGGAAATGTCCTTCTATATAACATGCTATGGGAATGTCATATTTCTGTAGGCGTGCAGAATGTGGTACTGGGCACAGAATTCAGCTTCCTCATAATTTCAGTTTTTCGTTTCTTTCTTTTTTAAAAGAGCAATGTGATTGTAAGCATTTATGTAAAAGTGTGTGGCCAATGTCTGGTGACTCTTAGAAACCCATGCGGTATCTAGTGGCGACAGGGGGTGCTTCAAAACAGTGCTTTATTTGTATAAAAGTGCAGATTTACTGCTTTTTTTTAAGCCCAGGGCATAAGAATACAGCAGCCACGTTATACAGATTAATGAAATAATCCTTCACTTTGACCCACTAGAGTAGTTTAATGTGCACATTTGGTCTCATCATGTTCACTTTCATAGCTGTCTTACTTTGCTCATCATCTTAAAGCCTGTATGGAGGATCTTCTTGGCCAGTTTGTAGTACACAGTGTCTGGTCTGTTGTATGTCATTGCGTTGTCACACATCAGCTTAAAATCTGCCTGAAAAACATGAACATGGGCATTACCATATTTTGCAGTTGTGCAGTCACAGCCATGCCAGGCCAAATTCAACAGAATGTTAAAATGAATAGTACAGTTGGTGAATATCAACCAACTATTTCTCAGGTAACTTGTAAGGGGCCCTGGTCCCTTTCGGTTTCCTAGGGCGAACAATGAAACCAGAAAAGATTAGATCACAATGTTGCTGCACTAGGACTTTCAACTAATTTAATTGATCAGGGCTTTAACATTTATGCCAAACTTTGCAGAACACCTTGCTGTTTAACACAAGGAGCTGGCTGGTTCACTGATATTCTCCCTCACAATCTGTGATCTGCTAAAATAAGTACAGCCAGTATTGTATTATGGCCTTTCAAGTGCTTGGTAAATCCTGCTTTTGTTGTCTGAGGCAGGCAATAAAAACAGGAGATTTACTGAGCCCCTTCTGCACCATCATATATGTGTACTGGGCTGTGCTTGTCTTAGTAGCTTCCACAGGCCTCTACATGTTATGCAGGGATCAATGGGCAACCCCCCCCTCGACACCTGCGCTTAAAACCACAGACTTTTGTTGTGCACAACCTGCTCTGGGAGTATCACATAAAAATTATGTGACTTTCACACTGGAATAACGGGATTGCTGCCCACTCATAGGAAATGCTAGATAGAAGCATTTCGGGAACTATTTACATGATCTACCACCCCTATTGACCAAATATAATAATTAGCTATTCACACTGTGAAAAGTTTTATCAAATCTCTATTAATTCACCTTGAATTCTGTTACTGACTTGTACTCGTTTGCTGCAATTTTTTCTTTCATAGTGCCAAAATCCATAGGATGCTTTATTATCATGGAATATCCAGGAGCAATGGCATCCGTGACTGGAAAAGCAAAAAACCCGTGAGGATCTTTCCTATAAAAGGGAAACACATACATATAGGGAATGTTATATTTGGGGATAAAATCATGTATGTATGTGTATACATGTATGTGTGTGTATATATACACCCCCAAACACCTATGTAAAACAAATGCCATTTTTCCATCAGTCAAGAACCACCGCCTGTCTTGCTTCATTAAAAAAAAGGGAGGGGGAAGCATTTTTATGTTTTTCCGTATTTGGCAAAATGTGTATTCAAAGCGATGAAGGGAAGTATAGAAAGGTATTCATAATAAAATAATAATCAGCCTGTTTGTATACAGCTTGATATCTGAAATGCATGTGACTTCAGGACTTTCTGTATTAGCAAGAAAGTCCTGAAGGATAAGCTGTATAGAAACATCTGTATATACCAACATGAGCTGGTGCTAAAAGTGAGGGGGCATACAGATCCAGCACTCCAGCGCTTTAGCACGTCTATCTACACATCTGACATTATTGAGTACCGATCTTAAACTAATTAGATATTATTAAGCAGTGATGTGGGTTTTCCAGAAAACTTTGAAACACATACAACTCCCCATTTGCGTGGGGGTTGCGTTCCAGGTCATTGCACATCATTCTTACCTCTGTAACTGGCGAAGAAAATGTTCCAACAATTGCTGAATAGGTGTGCTCTCGCTTTCTGCTATAATTCAATGTAAGGAAAAGCAAATGATCACTCCTTTGAAAGTTCCTGCCATCTGTATATCACAGCTCTAAAATGATAAAGATGCTATCGCTACAAAATAATATAACCACTATTAATCCTGGTTTTTTGGCATAGGACAGTAAAACACACATTACATTCCGTGGGTGGCCTTTCTGAAAATGATAGAGGAATATTAAGGCTAACACAAGAATCATATGAATTTCTATCCACATGAATAAACTGCATCCTTAACCAAAGAAGGGGCTGAGAGCAAACAAGAATCCGAGAAGTGTTTTCCTACGCTATACAAATCTTTATATCAGTTTCAGGTGTCACTGACAACGCACCTGGCTGTGTCCTACAGGCCCGGACTGGACGATCAGAGGGTGGCTCAACCTCTACTTTCTTTCCAGGATCAAAGTCATCTGTTTCGCCCTCCGTATCACATTGTTCTTTCTCCCTTTTTCTTTTCTTCTCTTCCTGATACCAAAGAAACAGAAATGTAAAAAAGACAGTCAATATAACCTCTTCAAGTACAAATGAAAGAATAACATATTCACGCAAAATCATCACTGAAATTAGTCTTTTGTGACATTAAAAATTCAGGATACTTAGCAATGGGAAAACAGATTCCTAATGCTTAGGAAAACAGGATCCTTTTAAAAAGTACATGGGTTATTTCCATTTGCCATCCTGCTTTTATTTAGATATTTTATTTAGCTTACTGTTTTTGTATGTACTGCAAGCCGCCCAGAGTGGCCGGGGAAACCCAGACAGATGGGCGGGGTATAAATAGTAAAATTATTATTATTATTTGTTTTGTTGTTGGTTTTCAAGAGTGTGTTGGAAAATGGTTATTCAAAATTCAAAGAGCTGCTGAAGAAACAAGCAAACTACATAAAGTAGTAGCACTAAGTCATTTAGGGCTTTAAACGCTAATGTGAGCACCTTGAATTGGGTCCAGAGACAACCTAGTAACCAATGCAATGGTTTTGAAACAGGGGGTATAAGAATTCTAAAGGAAACCCCAGGCAGTAATCTGGCTGCTGCATTTTGGACCACTTGAATATGCCAAGTTGTCTTAAAAGAGCAGTCTCACACAGCATACCTTGCAATAATCCAATTGGCTTTTATTGGCATAAATTTAAACAATAAAATAATAAAATCATCCAAAGTCATACAAATACATTGATAATCCAAAAACATACAATATATAAAAGACTAGATAGGTAGGGACGCGGGTGGCGCTGTGGGTTAAAGCCTCAGCGCCTAGGACTTGCCGATCGAAAGGTTGGCGGTTCGAATCCTCGTGGTGGGGTGCGCTCCCGCCGTTCGGTCCCAGCGCCTGCCAACCTAGCAGTTCGAAAGCACCTTCGGGTGCAAGTAGATAAATAGGGACCGCTTACCAGCGGGAAGGTAAACGGCGTTCCGTGTGCTGCGCTGGCTTGCCAGATGCAGCTTGTCACGCTGGCCACGTGACCCGGAAGTGTCTCCGGACAGCGCTGGCTCCCGGCCTATAGAGATGAGCGCACAACCCTAGAGTCTGGCAAGACTGGCCCATACGGGCAGGGGTACCTTTACTAGGTAAAGGTAAAGGGACCCCTGACCATTAGGTCCAGTCGTGGCCGACTCTGGGGTTGCGGCGCTCATCTCTCTTTACTGGCCGAGGGAGCCGGCGTACAGCTTCCGGGTCATGTGGCCAGCATGACTAAGCTGCTTCCGGCAAACCAGAGCAGCGCACGGAAACACCGTTTACCTTCCCGCCAGAGCGGTACCTATTTATCTACTTGCACTTTGACGTGCTTTCGGTTGGCTAGGTTGGCAGGAGCAGGGACCGAGCAACGGGAGCTCACCCCGTCGCGGGGATTCGAACCGCCGACCTTCTGATCAGCAAGTCCTAGGCTCTGTGGTTTAACCCACAGTGCCACCTGCGTCCCAAAAAGACTAGATAGCCACCACTAAATAAATCAGGAAACTTTAGCTCTAGCTTTAAAGATCTCATCTAAACACCCTGAAACAATCTTGGTAATTTCAGTAGTATCACCCCTCAACAAATATTAGATTACAGACTCTTTGTAAATCAATATTTTAAGATGTAAGGGAATCACTAGGTGATCTCTGTGAAGGGTGTGATGTATTATGTAATGTACTGTATCTGGTGGTTTCTTATTGCAGGAGCAGAATTTGTTCTGGAAGGGGATTTTGAAACGTTCTGAACAAAACAGATGAGGTGAATGCATTTCGATGAGCTTGCATAAAAAACTCAGCGATGCGATGGAGTATTTAAATTATAAAAGTAACTAGGCAATACAATGGAGTTTACTTTACTCTGTAGTCTGGACTCTTAAAAATTCTCATTCTCTGCCATTGCTTCACAACAGTTGTAAGGAATAGCTTTAAAAGCTCTGGAGTTGCCACAAAAAAATGCATTTGTTCAAACTGATACTTACAGTTTTCATAAGGTAACGTTTTAAAGCTTTGACCAGTATCTCTGAAAATAAGTCAATGACTCATTACCTTTCTCTTCCGTCTCTCCTCATCATCAAGATGCTTTTCTTTCTCTTTGTCAGATTTCTTCTTCTTCTTCTTTTTCTTCTCCTTATGTCGCTCTCTCTCATGGTCTGATCTATCATCATAATAACTGGAATCGTGGCCTGATCCTGAAAGTTCTGTCACTTCACTTCCACCAACTTTCAACACCAACTTCAATGGCTTCTCCAAGGGCTTATCCACATAATCTAAGAGGGTGACAACAACAGCAAATAAGTGAAAAGCAATAAATAAATAAACAGTATCAAACTAGCACAGCAAACATTCAGCAGGAATGCTGATCACATAAGCCTTATTCATAGGAATGTGTAAGAGCAGATTATGATGCCAAAAGCAGGTCTGAAACAAATGTGCACCGATATCCTCTGTCAGGAAGAAGGTGGCACCTACCCCCCTCAACAAGTGTGTGAGAGAAAAACAACAGTATTTTAGCCACCCAAAGTGGCTAAAAGCAAGATAAAGTATATTAATTTATTATAGCATATATGCTCTTGTGTTATATACATAAAAAGGTAAAGGACCCCTGACAGTTAAGTCCAGCTGCAGACGACTCTGGGGTTGTGCGCTCATCTCGCTTTACAGGCTGAGAGAGCCAGCGTTTGTCCGCAGGCAGGTTTTCCGGGTCATGTGGCCAGCATGACTAAGCCGCTTCTGGCCAACCAGAGCAGCGCACGGAAATGCCGTTTACCTTCCCGCCGGAGCAGTACCTATTTATCTACTTGCACTTTGAGGGTGCTTTCAAACTGCTAGGTTGGCAGGAGCAGGGACCAAGCAAGGGGAGCTCACCCCGTCATTTATTTGTACGCCACCTTTATGGTGTTCAGAAAAACACACACGTAACTACGGCATAACAAAAGTCGGCATAAACAATAAATTAAACATTAAAATACGCAAAACCAAGTTGAGCGATTTCCACATAAAACACAACAAAATGTAAAATAAAGATGCCAAAAAACCAACAGCAACAGCCCCTCCCCCCAATGGAAAACCCGACACGCGGCCCCAGCCCTGCAGCGGGGTGGGGGTGGGGGCGGGACTCGGGCTGGAAATGCTGCAAATGCAGAAATAAATGGGGTGGGGGTGGGGGGAGAAGGAACTGGGCAGCTTCCCTGCAGGCAGCTTGTGGCCTCCCTCACAGGGTTGCTGTGGGGACTGAGGAGAAAGGCAATGAATAGACACATCAATAAACCCACCGCCCTCCCTTCTCCCACCCACCGTCATAGGCGCCGCCGCCGCCGCCGCCGCTCCCTCCCCCTCCGCTGGCGGCGACGACGGCCGGGGCGGGCGCGGACCTCCACTCGGCCTTCTCCGCCTTGTGCTTCTTGTGCTTCTTCCCCATAATAGCCGCGACTGGAGGGCGAGAGGCGAGGGAGGAGGCGGGGGCTCCGCGCTCAGGGGAAGGGGCGTGGCCGGAAGTGACGGAAGGGCCCCGCCGAGGAAAGAGGAAGCACTTTCCCCGCCCGCCTAGGAAGCCGACGCTTCTCGACCCAGGGCGAATGGGGCGGGGCCGGAAGTGACGAAACTGGGAGGCGACGCGGCCGGGGATGAGAAGGGCGGGAATTTCGACTTTGGAGGCTGGAAGGCGGAAGGAAGTGGCGAGAGAATCCCGGAGAAGCCCCGGCCTCTCTCTCGGTCGAGGTGAGCCCCCCCACCATATAAAGGGAAATAAATAATAAATGGCCAGTAATAATAATAATAATAATAATAATTAATAATAATAATAATAATATAACGTTGTTGTCGGGAGCTGGTGGTTGCTTTGTTTTATTTATCTATCTATCTATCTGTCATCACTAAATTTGCATGCCTCCCTTGACCCAAAGATCACAGGGCGGCTCACAACATGAAAACACAGAATATATTAAAAAAAAGCATCGAGGAAGGCGAGGATTCCCCTCCCCCCCCCATTTCGATAAAGCAGGTCAAATTACCTGCCTAACAAATTAACCCAGAAAGCTTAACGTTCTTGTCTTAACACAAGCGATCTTTTGGTAATATAGATGATAGCATCTGTATTATTGTGGGGAAAAGCACATGACATGTATTGCCTGAACGCAGCTAGCCTAAATTTTTCATAACGATGCCATTGGTATTCAGGTTGCTTTGCTACTTCTAGACTACTCCTAAATCACATTTTTGGGGGGTGTTGTACCTTTGTGTGCAAAAATTACATCTCATGAATCACATACAAGAGGAAACAGGGCAGAGGAGATAGCTCCATATAGTTTTTCTATTTCTGTTATGTGATCAGTTATTTACTACCTTGCAGACATATTCCTCAGATTGAACATTGCAATTCTACCATCATTTTCTACATATTTATTATCACAGTTGCTTTGATGTGAATGATATAAATTTGATAGAATTGACACTAGGGTAGAAGGGGAAAATGAGCACTACAATAAACCAATATTTTTACAGTTGACAATAAGGATCTCCCAGATCTTAGATATAGTATAATGTCTATTTATTTTTTTTCAGTTAGGTTTCTATGAAATGGACAAAGCTGCAGGTGACTTAAAACTGGCTCTTCACAATGGATGTGAATCCTTGCAGATACATGTAGAAGTTCATCAAAAATCAAACAGGTTGGTGTAAAAATTTCCATTTCAGAAAGCCCCTTTCATCCTCACTTGCAGCAGAATGTCATGTGCTGCAGCAGGGTGGGGGACAAACAATAAGTCCCAGAAGCTGACTAGACATGGTGGGGCTCAAAACCATGTGTAGATCTCATCCACACTGTATAAAAGGTTTAGAAAAAACAGCCTTATTTCTTAATGAAGTTGTTGCAAGTTCTGTGAGTTGCCTTATACAGATCATTGGTCCATCTAGCCCCCAACACTCCAAGATAACTTTCAGAGATACTGAAAATTGCACATAGGACCTTCATGCAACGTAAATGATCTGCCACAGAACTTTGCTATCTCCCGCATTCTAAAGTTTAAGGAAATCGTATTTTCAGGAGGAGAATCAGTTACGTTGGTAACTTTTGTATACTTGTGGCTAAAAAGCATATTTTCACCTGTGCCCATTTGGCTGATGGCAGGGGACCTTTCCTCTGTACAGTTGCAGTGAAGCTTAGTGCATGAGGTTTAGGCAGGCAGATTTTGTTTTATTTTTTCCTCTTTCTGCAGGCCCTTCAGCTGAGAGCAGCTTGCTCATTCCCTTTGTCGGCTACCATAATCAAGAGTGTGATGGTTTGCTCCTGGGCATACTTTTCACAGCCTCTGAGTGGGTGGGGTCTCCTTGCACCAGGTCTTTTCTAGCTGTAACGGTTATGCCTGAAGTTACGATGTTTTTCTCTTTTACCCAGCACTGCAAAGAAAGAGGATATCAAACTGGGTGTTTTAAAACTACTAGAAAGGCATCCTGTGGTCTTTGGTGATTACAAATGGACTGAGTTTGATGATTATTTCCTGACAAATAATGTGCAGTCCATTGCAGTTGTGGACACAGAGTTGAAGTTGAAGGAAAGACAGGTATTACCTTATGGCTTACCTTATTCAAAACCTATGGGGGGTGTGGAAGGCTGCAGCTTGTTACTATTAAATACAATCATGAAAGTGGAAGTAACATCCACTACGATTGCTGTTAAGTGCATTTGTTTGGATCATGAATGCTTTCTGCAATCCAAATTCCCCTGTATTGTTGTTTCCCCTTTTCCAACTGCTACTTGCATGTATAGATGAGGGCTTATTTGCTATAATTCATGGCAAGTTTAGTTAGACTAGGCCAGGCTCCTTTGAAAACTACCTCAGACAATTTTTACCACCACTTGAGAAACTGGACACTTTACCTTGCTTTAATAAAAGTTATCTTAAAAGATGTATCCAGATTGCTTGCCAGAGAGTTCTCATGTGGTTTTTGCTCTTCATTACAGGCAATTAATCTGAGTAAGTGCAGCCTTTCCATTCACATTTTTCATCTTGGTGAAGAAGGGCCCAGTGCTGAAAATCTGGAGGCAGAGGATGAGAATATTGTTGCGGCTAATCACTGGGTGTTACCAGCAGGTATTTTAAAATTATTTATAGTTTTTAAGATTGTCCTGATGGGGTTGGAACAGCATAGGATTAGAATGTACTAGTCAAGAGGAAGTAGAAGGATGGTTTGATTATTTATGTGGGCAGGGACAGATTTAGATTATAACTGTGATGGGAGCAAGCAAGAAATTGAAAACTGCATAGAACACTAAATTAGAGTTCACTGATCCTGTCACTTACTTGTAATGGGGGTTTGAGCCCCATGTTGGGCAAAAGACTCCTGCATTACGGAGGTTGGACTAGATCAGGGGTTGGCAAGGTTTACCTTGCCTGGGCTGGTTCACTCCAGTGGAGATCCCTCTGTGGGCCGGATTGCGGGTGCGTGTGAGTATGCACACCCACGTTTTCCAGCATCTGCGCACATGCGCGCAGGGACTCGCCGAGTGGGCGGCTTGGTTCGGGGGCAGCTTTTGGGCCAGTTAAACGACCCCCGTGGGCCGCCCCTGTGGGTAGGTTGCCTACCCCGGACTAGATTATCCTAGTGGTCCCTTCCAACCTTATGATTCTACAATTGCAGCTATGCATGAAAATAAATGAAGAGCGAGAGGAGTCCTAGATCTCACACAAACTTCCCAGAGCCCAGTAAGCAAGGTGGAGGGCTCAAAAAGCTCTTTCCATAACTTGACTCCAATTTACAGGTGACTAGATTGCAGATGGGGAATCTTTGGCCATGCTGGCTGGGGCCAATGGGAGCTGGAGTCCAGCAACATTTGGAAGTGAACAGGTCCCACACCAAGGTTGAAATGCATCATGTTGTCTTAACTGGAATAAAAATATTATGTGATCCTATGTATGTGTGTTCATAAGTATGTTCAGTGCAAAGAATGCAGCACTGCAGCACCACCAAAGTTGGTGTAATCCATTAAGTAGCAAATGGGTTGTTGGGTTTAAAAATGATATTTTGATTTGCAAAACCACACATTGGAAATGATGTATAACGGTTCTATGTTTCAGCTGAATTCCATGGTCTATGGGAGAGCCTTATTTATGATGCTGAGATAAAATCAGATGTAAGTTGAAAGTATTAAGTTTTTATCTGGGATATAAACGGTTCTTCATTGTAAACTTTCACTGCACTAGATGAATTGTCCACTCTTACTCAGGCTTGTGTCAAGTTCAGAAGCAGTTTGTTTGTTTTTTATAATTTTTTTAAATTAGTTTTCAATTACAGTGCAATAATAGTCTCATTATAACAGTACCAATTTATAATACCAATCATTCAAATACCCAGTTATATAATTTAGATAAAGTGACCCCCCCTGCACGCTAGATTTGATGGTTTGATGATTTTCTTTATTTCTGCATTCCAAAATCTTATTAATTTCATTTACATTCTGGTCATAATAATAATCCCTTATACAACAACTGCAATATTCATAATTTCTATTTGTGTTGACACATTAAATGATTTATAAAACTACAAGTTAGGAACTCAAACTATATCCTTGTTCTTCCTGTGTGGCAATTATTCTGTCTGTGGTGTTTCTTCGTGTCCTTGTAAGATGTTATAGCTTTCCTTCCCCCGATTGTTGCTCTTATCCGTCATGCCTTAGGCAGTGCTGATATCCTATTGTTGTTCCAGAAATGTCTCCATCGCTCCATCCCATGCTTCGTTGTTTTGCAACTTTAACAACTGCAAAAGACACTCTATCCCAGTAGATAATGTTTTCACCATTTTTCCTCTCAGCCTGGGAAGAAGAGCGGTCTGTCGAACTGTAGATGACTCAGTAAAGAACCTTATCAGTTCCTTTGCAGTTCACAGACTCCTTTCATCCTTCCTTCCAACTGAAAATATATGAGCAATTATACTTCCAATTAAATTAAATTACAAGTCCTTTTAGCATTACTCAGTTCACTCCATAAATAATAAAAGAATGGGGAAGAGTCAGCTCTAAGTTTTCATTGTAAACTTTTTGCAAAATACAGCTCCCTCCATTTTTCCTTTTCTTACACATACAGTTCCGTTTGATGCTATATTACATATTTATAATCCAATTTCTTCCATCCTTGCTTGTACAAATATAATCTGAACTAACATTCAGAGGAGCGTTGCCAAATCATAAATGTAGAGAATAAAACTTTAAATAAAGAAATCGTAGGCTCCACTCCCACACCTTTTGCACCAAATGAGGTCTTATCTCAAGTTCAAACCTTAAAGTTCTTGCAGTTGGTTTGTTCTGCAGTTTGTGATCTCATCTCTTATAGCATGCCCCTGTACTTTAGTTCAATTAAGCTCTAATTAATAGGAGAACCTCTGCTTCTTAATGGAGGTGTCAGAGGGTTTTCAGCAGGCAAAGTGCTTTTGCATTGGGCACCTCCCTGCTCCCTGCATCCAATGCTGGAGTGAGAACCAGGTACAGAGATGA